TGAAGAGCTGATGTATCCGCTTTGGCATATGATCTGTTGATTATGACTCGGCTGTTTGCGCGTGGTGGGCAGGTCAGAAGATTCTTTGCCAGCGCAGGCAGCGAAGTCCCCATGAGAACCCCATAGAGATCTACCGTAGCGAAGGATACTTTCGTCTTAACCTAGCTTCTAAAATACGGGCTGAGTCTTTAGAAACACAGTCTTCGAGATAAGCATCGGATGATATCGTCTGGTCTGGGACCATGTAAGTCGCAAGAGGAGCAGTTTCATCTCTTCTATTTCTCCACTTGATGTTTGCGTCCTGAGAAGTTAGGAGCCAGTAACTACACGAGCCTTTATATTACTGATAAATGACTTGCCCAAGTCCTCGACTCCAGAGCTATCATACATACGTAAGAGAGACCTCTGAATCTCTTATAACAACCTACTGGAAACGGGCAAGCTGGATACTTCACGTCAGCGTATAATCACAACTGTTGCTTTATGTTGAAGTTTTTCTCTGATATAGAACGCCATCTTTGTTCATGCGTTTTGTAATTAGAAACAAGAGAAGAAAAGTAGCGGTTTTCAACAGCCGTTAGAGACCGACTCCGGGACATGTCTTGAATTTCTCATCCCAACGCTATGCCCTACCAATCTGATAGTACAGTTTCATATCAAGACATGATGCTACAGACCAGATGGTATTAGTACAAGTGGCACAACAAGCTCAATTCATCGTTACGATCGAGCTGCCTCATACACTTGACTTCAACGTTTTTCAATGCGAATGGCTGGTACAATTATGGGCCATAATGTTGGCATGAATTTGTATAAACCTGGGGTTTCAGCTATCATATAGACTCAAACCACAAACAACTATGAATACATAGATATATTGTATCATCAGTAATATATCTAAGCATCTATTATCGTGATACTTCATGATGCTACATGAATAGCGCGAGCTAATTGGTCAACCCCCGATGCAATCAATTAAAGTCGCGTCACGTAATTAGCCCCTCTACGCGTTCTAACGCGTCGCCCTGTAATAAGCTGCAGCGCCAGGGATGACCCCACACAGCATCCGTGCCTTTGCCCTGGCAACTAAAATCTCCCCTCGACATTCAACAATCAATCCATCTTACCAAGACTCGGTCAACCAAACCATTGCGTGCGTCGTCACTTGTCAACTGATAACCGGTCCAGACGATCATTATATAATTCAACCGCCGCAATGGCTACTCCCTCGAGCGATGCCGGCTTCATGATGTCGGATGCCCCCTCGCGGGCTGCCCAGACCCCTAGACGCAATATGGGCTTCCCCTCGTCTTCCTCAGCGCGCCCACGAGGGCCTCCTTCGGAGAATATGGGAGCCCCAAGTGATGACGAGGGTGATGGATTTGCGGATGATCAGGTTCCACGAAGCTCAAGGATCCCAAATTCTACTGAGATTAGTCGTGTTGAGGACAGAATTGGCCTGCTGGTTCAGGAACACTTTGAGTCTTTTATCGAGAAGTGAGTGCATCTGCGTAGACTCCTTATATACATGGAACGTTGCCTAACCGTTCTCTTTGAAATCAGCTTTGCCGAGGACCCTATCAGCGCCCCGACACCAAGCGCGCCTACACCCAGCGCCGTCACCACAGACAAGTACTATGTCGCCCAAATCAAGGGCATGCGCACATACTCGCTCTCGACATTCTACGTCGACTATAGACATCTGGCTGCATGGGAGAATGGCAGTTTGGCAGACGGTGTTATGCGCCAATACTATCGATTCCTCCCCTTTCTCACCGCTGCTTTACACAACATGATCGCAAAGTACGAGCCTATGTACTTCCGCGAACATCGCCAGCCCACAGCCTCGAGCAACCTCACAACTTCTGCGGCCAGTCATCTCGGCTCTGCCAGCCAGTCCGAGTCGTCACACCGCAAGAATGAGCACCAGCAAACTGACAAGCTCTTCTCTATCGCATTCTACAACTTGCCTCTAGTTTCCAGAGTCCGTGCCCTCCGAGCCGCCAACATTGGCCAGCTTCTTTCTATTTCTGGGACAGTCACACGAACATCCGAAGTCCGTCCCGAGTTGTCTGTTGCTACTTTCACCTGCGAGGCCTGTCGTACAGTTGTGCCAAATGTTGAGCAGACCTTCCGATACACAGAACCTACGCAATGCCCGAACTCGACATGCCAGAACCGCGTGGCCTGGCAACTCGACATTCGTCGTAGTACCTTCGTCGATTGGCAGAAGGTGCGAATTCAGGAGAACAGTTCCGAGATTCCTACAGGCAGCATGCCTCGAACCATGGACGTTATTCTGCGTGGTGAAATTGTTGACCGCGCCAAAGCTGGAGAGAAGTGCATCTTCACTGGTGCTCTGATCGTCGTTCCTGATGTCAGCCAACTTGGTCTTCCAGGTTTGCGACCGACTGCTATCCGCGACGACCGCAATGCGCCTAGAGGAGCCGATGCTGGTGGAAGTGGAATCAGCGGTCTCAAGGCTCTGGGTGTACGTGACTTGACATATCGTCTTGCCTTCCTTGCCTGCATGGTGAACCCAGACACTTCAACATCTGGCCAGTCGGCTGCCAGTGGTGCTACCGATGTTGTCAATGCTTTGACACAGAACACAGCCAACGAGGGAGAGCAGTCAGTGGAAGATGCCCAAGCTGCTGTTCTAGCGTCCATGAACCCCTCTGAAATTGAGGACCTGCGAGCAATGGTCCACGGTGACCATATCTATTCCCGTCTTGTGCAATCTATTGCTCCCATGGTCTACGGCCATGAGGTCGTTAAGAAGGGTCTGCTTCTCCAACTCATGTCTGGTGTCCACAAGAGCACGGCTGAGGGTATGCAACTTCGAGGTGATATCAACATTTGCATTGTCGGTGATCCTTCCACTTCCAAGTCTCAGTTCTTGAAATACGTGTGCTCTTTTGCGCCCCGTGCTGTCTACACCAGTGGCAAGGCCTCGTCTGCCGCCGGTCTTACTGCTGCGGTGGTCAAGGATGAGGAGACAGGAGAGTTTACTATTGAGGCTGGTGCGCTCATGCTAGCAGACAATGGTGTCTGTGCTATTGATGAGTTCGACAAGATGGATATCGCAGATCAAGTCGCCATTCATGAAGCCATGGAACAGCAGACCATCTCGATCGCAAAGGCCGGTATTCAAGCTACATTGAATGCTCGAACCAGTATTCTTGCAGCTGCCAACCCTGTTGGTGGTCGTTACAACCGCAAGACGACCCTCCGTTCCAATATCAACATGTCGGCACCTATCATGTCTCGTTTCGATCTCTTCTTTGTTGTCCTCGACGAGTGTAACGAGCAAGTTGACCGTCACTTAGCAGAGCACATTGTTGGTATCCACCAGTTGCGTGATGAGGCTGTTGAGCCCGAGTTCAGCACAGAACAGCTTCAGCGATACATCCGGTTTGCCAAGACTTTCCGACCCGAGTTCACTGAAGAGGCGAAGGATGTCCTCGTGGAGAAGTACAAGGACCTTCGCGCTGACGATGCCCAAGGAGGTGTAGGCAAAAACTCGTACCGAATCACAGTCCGTCAGCTCGAGAGTATGATTCGTCTCTCCGAGGCTATTGCAAAGGTCAACTGTGTAGAAGAGATCAGCTCTGAGATGGTTGTCGAGGCTTACAACCTCCTGCGACAGAGTATTATCTCCGTCGAGCACGACGATGTTGAGATGTACGACGAAGAACCCGAAGAAGATAGCGAGACGCTTCTCCGTGCCGCTGATGCTGCGTCTGGCCGTGGCCAAGAACACGACGCAGTCATGGAGGAAGACGGCACACAGCCTGGCCGTAGCAGTGTTGCCCCTGAAAGAAGGAAGCAGACCATCACATTCGACAATTACATCAAGATGGTCAATATGTTTGTTCGGCGTATCACTGATAATGAGGTCGGCGTTAAGGAAGGCGTCGATGGTGATGAGTTGGTCAACTGGTATCTCGAGCAAAAGGAGGATGAGCTTCAAGGTGAGGACGATTATCACCGAGAAAAGGCTCTCGCCCACATGGTGCTTAAGAAGATGGTCAAGGTAAGCCACACACATCCCCCTTTTCCAAGATTTATCCTAACTCAAGATTCCAGGAAAACATCCTCATGGCTCTCCGCGGCGAAGGTCTCACAGATGGTGAGGCAAGCTCCTCAACAGATCCCTCCCACATCATGTACATTGTGCACCCCAACTGTGCGATCGAGGAGTTCTAAGCATCTGTCTAAAACAAATGAGAAAGTATAAATGAAAGGGAGGTTAATATGCACGTCATGACTTAACGCCTCGGAAGACGGGCGTTTTAGGAGTTTGTGATACTACATTGTCGACCTGTTGTATCTGATTGTGAGCGACTGTACATCATGGGATGAGTGGAATTTTAGAAGGGGATCTTGTTACGAGGATGTTGAATATGATAGATACCATTAATGTACAAACATTATATGAACAACACATTGCAAACAAGTGTGACATACATACTACGATTACATGCCAACATCATCGCACAGTGATTTACCAGGGACAGTCACTTGAGGCACTTAAGTTCGCGAAATTTGTATGATTGATCAATCGTCTGCCTGACAGAGCCTCGTACGCACTCGTTGATTCCGTCAAGGCGTAGAAACGCTCATCGTTCCCATCATCGTGATTTCTCTCCATAAGTCCGTTGCGGCTGTTTCTGATTTCCAGGTTCATCTGATCCAGCTCCTTCATACAAAAAGTACAAAAATAAGAAGGGGAAAAAACCTAGCACATTCGATTATCGCGAACCCAGTCCCGACCCAAAGTAAAGCAGGTCATCGAACTTTGTTACTCAGACGCCGTCCTTCCTTCCCCTGTCATCGAGAACATGGCGCGTGTTTCATTTGGTTTGGGTTGTTTGTGGGCCTTGAAGAGCCCGTAAAGTCCCCCTTTTGAGGCGATCCTATCATTTTCACAAAAAGCAATGCCCGCCATGTATGCTTTTATGAAAACAAAACAGAGCCCTAGTGTTATAAAGGGAGATGAAGAAAACAGAAAAAAGGTATAGCGCGTTTAGCATGTGCGTAGGAAGCAAATGCTAGCACGCTGAGAAAGCCTGCAGTATATGGCTGTGCAGACAATTTATGCAGAAGCTCATTCCATGATACCCTGAAGACAGACTTCGGAATGGTGGGGGTCGCTATGTACTGGGAGGGGAGACCAACGCATCAGCAGGTAAAGCGGTAAACACAAGATGCTCTGCTAGTATTATGTAATAGACTGAGACTGGTGTCATGCCTGTGTCTCAGCCGGCTTCCTCCAGCTTCCTTTGCTTTCCTAAGCAGCCAAAGAAGCAGGATTACTTGGGGTGCGGCTCCAGTCAGAACCTCGACCGCGGTAGCTACCACGGCCTCCTCGGCCTGAGGTTGTCGGGGGATATTCTCCTCGTGAGCTCGACACATCTCGCTTGCCTCCTCGACGTTCATAGCCAGAGCCCCGATTTCTGGGACCACCTCGTCCTTGCGAGCCTCGACCACCTCGAGTTGCTGAGAAGGGAATAGTGACAGTCCTCGCCTCCTGCATATTAGGGAACATGATTCTTATAACATTACCGCCACCAACAACGTCGGCAGAGAAATAGTATGGTTCCATGACAGTTGGCTGAACCGCAAATTTCTTTGGCAGAGGCTTGTTTGGTGCTAATGCCGGCTGCCAAGCGGCTTCGGGGGCCTTGTGTGGTAGTCGGATCTGAGGTAAGGATCCCATCTCTTGCTCTTCAAAACATTCCTCGGCCATGGGTTTGGTGACAGGTGACGAGAGGCTCTTGTCGGAATGGGCGGGAGCTGAAACATTGTTTCTAGGTAGAGAAACAGTGGCCGAGTCGTGGTGAGCAACATGGTCCAGAGCACTCTTGCTTGCAGGATCGACGCCGATTGACCTTTGGGGTGGAGATTTTGAACCCAGTAAACTGTTTATTCGGTTCTGCCACTTCTCTTGAGAAGATTCCCCGGCTGTTAATGGTGCACGATTAGGGCTCACAGGGCCCCGAGCGACATCCTTGAAGGATGGTGGGTGCGCCCAGCCGAACTGTACACGATTCGAGGGAGGTTGTGAGGCCGCCATAGATGGGGGTAGCTTCACGACAGGGTGAGGCTTTGGAAGCGACACATGAGGTTTCATAACATCACCCTCGTAAGCTGGGTGGCCTTCCATCGTAGGTGGCGGGGGAGTTGGTGATTTGGATCGTGATGGCTCATTCTCGTTGATTCTATCATGCGAGTCTCTCGTAGGGAAGAATCGAGACGTTCGATTCTGCGAAGCTCCGGCCTGGCCTGGAACTCCACCTCCCACCACTCCAATGTTATTAGGATCCTCCTTTGCATCATCACCAGGGTTCCTCCAGGGGCCAGCTGGCTGTGCTTCTTGAGGACCGATAGCTCGTCTTGTACCATCACCGGGAGCATGAACCTGGCGCCATGTGTCCTTGATGACCGGCTGGGCATCCTCAAGACTGACACCACGCTCAGCAAGTAGGCGACCACGCTCAACCCGCTCTGCTAATCGGCTAGCGCTCAGTTGTTTATCCTTTTCACCGACGGCATTAATCCACTTGCTTGCCACATCAGATCCTGCCGGAGGGTGAGGGCCAGAAGAGCCGTATCGCGAAGGTCCAGAACCAATTGGGGCTGGAGGTTGAGGTCGGGCTTGAGAAGGTTGTCGTGGATTATTCGGAGGGGCGATAGGCGATGGTCCCTTGTTTCCTTGAGAACCTGGGCGATTATCCAGAGGTGCACGCCCGATATCAGTGTTGAATGTACCATTACCGAGGCCTCGGTCGTTATTAGGTGACCCCCAAACATTATTACGGGGCTGTGAGCCGGTACCCCAATTTGACACAGCTCTGTCCTGGCGTGAGGCTGCAGCTGCTCCCCAAAGTTCACTAGGCTTGGCTTCTTGGCTGTGAGATACACGCCTGGCCGCTGGCGCTGTGCCCTGAGTGTGTACAACTTTAGAATCAGAATCTTGAGGTTGCTGTCGAGCTGGCGGAGCTGTTGCAGAGTGGTCGCCATCCTGCTGCAATTGTGTAGGAACTTGGTTTGCCGCACTACTATGATCACGTTGTTGAATATGTGTTGGGTGTGAAGCATCGTCAGGCTTCTCTGCGGGCTCCTTCTTCTCCGTCTTCTTCTCTGGCGCTGGCCCCATAGCATCCAACTTCTTTTGAATACGCTCCCGGCGTTCAGCTTCCTCACGGGCTTCTTCTTCCTGGCGTCGTTTCCTAGCTAACTCGACACGTTCTCGCATGAGCTTCTTCTGATATTCGACCTCATCGCTAGCAGGTTGAAGGGGAGGGGGTGGACCAGCAACTTGCTCCGGAAGAGGTGCAGGGTGGTGTGGTTGCGCAAAGGCAGGATTTGGAGAACCTCGAGGAGGCATCCAGTTAGAATGGGGTTGCCCCCTTGGTGGGCCATGCCCTGAGGCTGAAAGGTTGGGGGAGACAAGGCCATCAACGGAGCCAACGAAAGACGGTCTACGACCTTCCTGTAATTCAGGAGGGGGTAGTGGCCCTTCACCTCCCTTATTCATACGCTGCATAAACGAGCCACTTCCGCCACTAACGTTGGATGATCCTCGTCGTCTAGCAAAAGGAGGTTCCTGAGAAATCCTGTTAGTCTGGAAAGCACCAGAGGGTTCAGCAGGATAGTCTGGTTGGGGTGGTCGCTGCAATAGGGCTGGATGATGCCTTGGATGTTGTTCCATTCTCATCGAGCCACGTCGATTGTCGTGTACAGGTTCGTAGCGCCCAGAATGGGAGTTAAACAATTCCCGGCCTCCGTGAGATGAACTATCTCTCCATCGATTGAAATCATCTGCCGCAAATTCTTTTGGAGGCGGCGGAGTCATGCCCTTGTTATGTGGCGGTCTAGCAAGATTGGCCTGTTCTGGAATAGGTGAAGCCTTCTCAACCGGAGGTAGAGGCGCCCACGGGGACTTGACAGGTGCTGGGGGAGCTGGAGGTTTGGCAACAAGAGTTGGTTTTTCCTGGGAGCCACTCTTCAAAATCAAACCCTTGCCCTGGGCAAGATTACTCGACTTCGTCAGGGGAGAGCTCACAGCAACAGGTGGAGCTGGAGACCACGGTTTATCGAGGGTCTTCCCCTTAGACGCAACAGAGCCACTGTCTGATGGCGGCGGTGGGTGCTCGTCTGGGTGAGGAAGTGTCGTCTTCGTGCCATCACCCCAAGTAATAGCTTCAGGAGCCCAGTCTTCATCGTCGTCGTCGATGTCTGCCCATTTGTTTTGTCCCTGTGCATCATCTTCGTTCAAACGACTGGCCATATGAATTCCATACTTCTTAAGCTCCTCATCGGTAAACTTTTTGGGTTCAGGCGGCGGCACAGCTACAGTTTCGTTAGTTCATTTAGTTCGGCTGATCCAGAATACAGCACGTACGTCGGTTTTTGTTCCAAACTGCATTTGCATCAGGTGCACTACCGGGCTTTCCCCCATTCACACCACCAGAAAATCGAGGCGATGAATCGCGAGTACTGCTACCGGTCTTTGCTATAAGGCGAGGTCTCGAAGAGGATAAGGTTGCCGATGTCGTCGGGGGCGTACTGGAACCGGCAGGCTGTTTCTCGGCGGCCTTGGTCGCAGCGCTGTTGGCAGTCGCCTTTGCTGCGAGGAATGTTTTATTGACCGAGACAGCCTTGAAAGCAGGCTTCTTGACTGTGGAGCCTGCGCGGCCATGCACTTTCTCTCCATCCTTCGTCTTTGAAGCATCTGCGCGCGATGCCTCCGTATCTGAACCTCCGCTGGCACTAGCATCAGCGGAGGTGAGTTGATCTTCGACGCTTGTAATGTGCTTGTTTTCGTAGTCATCGTTGCCGGCACTGCCATTCAAATTCGAGCGGACGGGGTCGACATTTTCGGCGTCGGGCGACTAAGTTCATGAGAAAGTCTGTTAGTAAGGCAAGCTACAGCAGCTCGGCTAACTGAAGCTACAGGCTCAAACAGGTAACGAAAAGGGCCGCGATGTGCCAATTTCGCCAAAACCAAACCGGCTGGAAGTTCACTTTCGCAACAGCAGGGAAGATGAAACGTACAGGCTGGGACTGAGAGGCAGTGGCATCGGCAGCTTTATCAACGGCAGCCTCTGTTGCCATCATACGTGGTAAGAATGCGCCGGTCGTGGGGTAAGCAAAAGAAGCCCTCTGGATGAGTTTCTCCGCCTAGTCTCGTCGGTTTCTGGTCGGACTAGAGTTTAGAGGTAGACGAAACGTCGTATCTCGAAGTCGGGATCAGTTGCGACACCGCGGGGCGGGGAGGGCAAGAGTATCGGTAGGTAGTGGGGATCGGAGGATGTTATGGGTATAGAAAGGCGATCTGCGTTCGTCCGGTTGCAAGGTATTTGATATGATGCTCGATCCAAGAGTCGGGGGTGGGATATGAGGAGGAGAAATCACCAAACTGCAAGGCGTGTCAGTTGCGAGGTGTAAGGTGAGGTATCAATGTACCCGGAGTAACTGCGGCTGATGCACTGGTGTTTGTGATGTGGAAGGCCAGACAGACAGACGCCAGTTTTCAGAGGCCCGAAAGTGATGCTGGAGGCTGGGTTAGGCTTAGCGGCCAATCGATAAGGGGCTGGGATTGGCCATCCTTCCCTGGCCCCTGACTGCCAGTGGCAGGGCTGCCGGGACCAATTCCAGCTGCCAGCTACCAGCTACAAGGCCGGTACGCCCTGGAGCTTAGGGGTATCATCAAATGGCTTGTCATCATGGAGCCGAATGACTCTACCGGCCACTCAGCTGATTAGAAAGGATCTGATCTGATCTAAACTTAGACCTGATAGTAATGTTCATGAGAGTCATTCAATATTGCTAGGTATCATCGGACACTTGCTTAAGCATTTCCTGTTGCATGAATAGGTCAACAAAGCGAGCAAGCTCATCCTGAAGAATAGGCTTTATGGTACTAGGTACGTACACTGTCTAATTGACTTGGTGACACCTCACATCCCGCAAACAATGCAGTTCAACGTCATGTTGTATTTTTCTAATTATCCAGGTAACCTCATTCACTTAGGGACGTTCGAATTGCTAAATCTTGCAAGTCAAGAGTTCCTCTTGGGTTTCCTTAGGTTTGATCAAGTCTGCACAAGCTTTGTTACTGTAGTGTACACACTAATCACTTTCAGTGTGATAGTGCAAACTCAGCCGGACATCGGAGTAAGCACAAATCTAGCATTAACAAGATGTAGACATATGCTCAGTTAATCAGTCTCTCTGTTGCAGAATGCGGAAGAGCTTGAGAATGCAGTACTACCCAAAACGCTTACAATTCTGACAGAGGTACACAGGGAGAAGCTTCCGCTCCGAAAGCACAGCACCATGTAGAACCAGAGAACAGCGCATAACCAAAAACGTGATGGCAATGTCACATCACTTGCTTGTTAGAGATACATAGGGAAGCCAAGGCGCGTGCTCGACCGCGAAGTTTCCGGAGTTTATATGTACACGACCCCCGCTCCCTCTCACACAATCATCCATCTAAGGTATCTAAATGCCATTTTAAGCTGCTTAGTGGGCGTTGTTCTTGTGGTGGCCTAGATGATTCCAGCATTAACAAACAGCTCCCCTTCATCTTTGTGATAGGGATACTTACGAAGGTGGAAGTAGTAGTTCTGGGCGTAACCGATGCTGACGAGGAAGACAATCAGGTGAATGATAGCTATAACACAATCACTGTCAGAATCCAACAATCATATCCAATCTTCAGAGAGGGTGTCCGTACGCTTGCCAGTGGGGTTCTTGCCGAAGTGCTTGGCCTGGTATCGGCCGAGGAGACCCTTAGCCTTGACCTCGGGGGCGGCACCTCGGGGGAGCTTCTCGTAGAAGCTGACGACACGCTGCATGCGGATAGCATCAGGAGCAGCGCCAATGGCCTGTAGTGGATCGAATTCTGTCAGCCTTCCGAATCTACATCATGACGAAATTTCCCTCCATTGATCGATCGCCCATAAAAGTCCTCATCCCTTCAAAATTCGTCGAGATCGAAAACGAAGCTCCGTGGGATAATAGTTTCATCGTATTCTGCGTACCTTCGGAGAAGCGACCTGTTTTTTGAAAATCCGGTGTTAGCAACGGAATCAATCGGAGCACCGGGGGTTTGCGCCCATAACCGAAGGGGCTCTCTCTCACCTTGGGGGGGATGAGCGTCGAGAGCGCTCGGCGGGTGACGAAGCTCATGATGTCGGTGTTTCGGGGGGTTCGAGTCTCGAGAATTGGTCCGTCGAGGGTCTGCGTGACGCTCAATTGCAAGGGCTGGAGTTTGAGGTTCTGTCGAGATGAATGGTCCCGCCCACGGTCAGGTTCTTGCCGAAAAGCACTCGTTCCGCGACTTCGGCAAAACCACTGATCCGCTCCACCCAATCAGGATCGCGCCGTTCAAGCTTGCTTCAACCTCAGAATATCGCCGCAGCCCACCATCACTCACTTAAGAAACGATACGCCCATATCACCAATTGAAAGCTACCGCCTTGCACCATGGCCGCCCTCCGATCTCAGAGTGCGGCTCGTATGCTGCGAAGCGCTGCTGCGCCTCGAGTCGCCCTCTCCGCCGCCCCCCGACGATTCCAGAGCAACGTCACCCAAGCCAGCGGCACCATCACTGGTCCTGTTACCAGCGAGCCCGACTACAATATCGAGGCTGACAAGGCTACCTCGTACGATTCCTCGAAACGCGATTGAAAATTGGAAGATGGAATACAAGTGCTGACTGAATGCCAGCACCTACACGCCCGTCCCTCGATCCGTCCAGAATGGCAGCGAAGAGATCCTTCCCGCTGCTGTGATCTCAGGCGCTCCCATGGAGCTCCAGGCCCGAACGGTTCGGTTCGTCTGCCCACATACATGATTCGATTGTCGTCGAAAGTTCCAGGAATTAACAATAACTACAGCATCTACCAGGAGGCTAAGCCTGCGACTCAGTCCGGCGATTGGCGAGGTCGACGCTGGCGAATGGATTGGGATATTCTTCCCAAAGGACATCGATGGGAGAACCCTTTGATCGGTTGGCAATCTTCGGGTGATTTTATGCAAGGCACCCACATCAATTTCTCGAGCAAGGAGGATGCCATTCACTTTGCTGAGAAGCAGGGCTACGAGTACTTTGTTCAGGAGCCCAACTCTCGCAAGTTTGCACCCAAGGCTTATGCCAACAACTTCCTGTATTCTGCCAGGAAGCTTAAGCACATCAGGACGAAATAGATGGCTCGGACAGCCCGGCTCCATGTAAATATGTTATAAAGGCTCATTTCAGTGTTTTTCGACTATAAGAAATTCTTCTTAGGCAATGTCACGCGTGAAATGCCGTATGTGATGAATAAATAATTGACCTTGCCTCTAGAACGCTGTCGAGGTCCACAGCCTATATATGACAGCCTCTTCAGAACGCCTTACAGACACCCTTTGTCTTAGTCTTAATCCTTACCATAAGAATGTGAATATTATCCCAAACGCCGAGCGCTAGTTGGACGAAGAACAGCGCCACACAATCAAAAATACTACTCTTTGAACATGCCTCCAGGTCGGGTATCAATGTCACGTTGTAATCATGGGGTCATGGCCGTTTCCGATGTGAGGTCTAGGGCTGTCGGGTTCTTCTCCGTTCAAGCCAATATCCAGTCGGTCAGGTAGGTTTTTACGCTTGTCTCGGGCAGTATTTTCAGCCCAGACACGCATTCTGACGAGCTGACGTATAGCTGCTTCACGTCTTCGGGATTGCCTTTCAAGGATCGCCCGGTTTACGCTGTCTGCAACTTCTCGTCGCAACTCTGGCTCTAGCAAAGCTGCTAATTGGGGCTCGCGCGCGTCTGATGGAATTAAGAGCAGTGCCATGGTCCTCTCCAAGTCTTCTAGAAACTTAGGGTTCGTGGGTGCTTTGGGGCCCAGTTCCTCAGTAGCGAACGTGAGGGCAGGTTGAATATCACCACTCGCATTACAAGCGCGTATGAGTTCAATGAGTTGAAGTCGTAGCAAGGTGAAGTGAAGTGCCTTATCTCCATCTAGAATCTTTACGTCGAGTTAGCGACAATACATTCAAACATGTATGAAATTAGAAGTGAAAAAGAAAGGTAATCATAAAAAGTGGTTGTTCCTCATCAAAGGCCCGAAGGCTCTATGAGTGGTGCATGTAAAACTCGTGTTCTAATCATATAAAAAAAGGATATGGGGGGCTGGAATTGCATACCTGTGGATCAAACTCATTGAGTGTCGTTATTGCCGTCTTGATATCTCCACTATGGATGCAGTTCTGGATTTCCTGCCTCGCGATAATGTACTGTGTGTCCTGGTGAGGTTCGAGATTGGCTTCCTTAGAAAAGTTTGCTGCCGCATTCGGATACCCTTCCATAGTAAGATAGTCCAGTATCAGAGCGTTGATATCACTTTAGAGTCGTTAGCAACTGGCGACATGAAATTGTGTGCAACAACGAGATGCATTGAATGGTGTGTTCAGAAAAAGAAGATTGATATCGTGTTTCCGCATTATATGCTAGGAGAGATTCCCATTGATAGTGCGTTCATCACTTCACCGGGGTAGGTGACATGGCAGGAGGGGAGAGTATCGTACCTTTTGGGAGACTTGACATCTTGAACACGCCGGTCAAAGGCATGCTTGACGGGAGTAGCTGTAGAAGCAGATGACGTCTGATTCTCGAGTCAGCACCCAGCTATACAAAGCTTGGGCTGAAGCTCGGCTTGTCGACAACAAAGCTCACCATTTTGTCTAATTATCCCAGCACAAATATCGCTGCGAGTCGAAGCTTGAACGGAGAAGGGTTAATCGACGGCACGGTATAGAAGCAATAGCCGGAAGTAGGCGATTCAGCGCATGGAGAATCAAGCCACAATCCAGGCTCGTGATCTGTATGCTACTCGTAGAAAAACTTTTTTGTGTTTATTCTAAACGATGTAAGGAAGAAGAAGAAGAAGAAGAAAAGAGAAGAGGTTGACGGAAGATGGAGGAGAAGAAAAGATGATTGGGGGCTGGAGGAAAAGTAGCGCCGTGTTCGTGGGTCCAGAGCCCGTAGCCTCATAACAGGGCTTGAGAACCAATCATGTCAGCGAAAAGCTCCACTGAGCTCTGCCCTGTCTGCCTCAGGTCTCTATCAAGGACAGCCCCGCCAAAATTACGGTAAGGTCCCTGAAAATGAGCTCCGTTGTATGCCGTGGCTAAGCCATTGCTCTCGATGAATCGATTTGGGCTGTGCAATACTATATCCATGATATGACCTTAATGATAATTTGAGGTGTCAAACCAATATTTCAGGTATAATACTATGAGTGTAATACAGCTAATGAGCTCTGATCCGAGCATCAACGATGGTCATGGTACCCTAACTCATGAGATCGATGTCATGAGCCAAGCCACAGATTACCTCTAACAGAGGTCACCATGATCGAGCTAGAGGCGTGATACCTACAGTAGAACAGGGCTAGACTTAATTACAGTAGCTTATCTCTTTGGATCGTGCGGAGAATGCAATGCGCCTTCGGCCATCGCCGTCTTTCGATAGATACAGATACGGTATGAGGAGAACCCTGACGAGGTCAGGTCGATCGTCAAAACATGAGCAGGGCCAGGGCTGAGCTGATTTATCTTCTTACCCTTTTGCTTCTAACTCAACCACCAAAGTATATCTATATATGTACCATCACTCTCACCCTTCCTCTGACCTATAGCTACAACTGCTAGCAATAGCTCATCTCCTCACTGAAGCTCTCACTGCTGTCCCGCTTCTTCTTGGCCCTTTGTGGATCACACACGCGACAGGGCCGTGCTCACTGCTCCACCAACAACGGGCAAGCCAAACCCTCGAGTCGAAACTTTGAAGGCACCATACTCGTACAGCTCGTGGACATTGCAGGGCTAGTTTTCGGAGAGGAAAGTTTGAGTTCTCCAGCTGCCAAATATTCTCGCCTTTCGTTCATCCAATCCTCGTACTTTTCGCTCCAGATCTTAGGTGACGGTGACCTCATCGAGAACTAGCCCACCGCAATGTCCGCCTCTGCAATCCCTGAAGTCAACGGCGGGCTCGAGAGTCATGTCACGGTTCAGAAGCGAGCTTACTATTCACCTCCTTGGGCGGATGTCAGCATTATCGGCGTCGCGGGCAGCTCAGGTTCAGGCAAATCGACCCTATCCCAGGCTATCGTCAAGAAGTTGAACCTACCCTGGGTCGTTATTTTGTCAATGGCATGAATTTCTGAAACTATACTTTGAACATAAGCTCATATATAACAGGACTCTTTCTATAAGACCTTGACACCTGAGCAGTCTAAACTGGCCTTCGCCAACGAATATGACTTCGACTCGCCTGATGTATGCTCTATGACACCGTATGCACTGCCAGAATAACAACTAATGCTATTCTCATAGGCCATCGATTTCGATGTTCTGGTCGATAAGCTACGGGATCTTAAGGCTGGGTATGTGTAGTCGGCAATGGCTTTAGCATTGACACACAACTGACGTCTCACCATACTCACAGAAAACGGGCTGAAATTCCCGTTTATTCATTCGCCAAGCATTCTCGGCTGGACCGTACAACATCCATCTACTCGCCTCACGTGCTTGTCCTAGAGGGTATTTTTGCGCTTTACGATCCCCGAGTGCTTGAGCTGCTTGATATGGGTGTATGTTGAAACCGATGCACTAGTGAAGCGGATGAATGAACCTAACACTAGATTTAGATCTATTGTGAAGCAGATGCAGATACTTGTCTGTCACGAAGACGTAAGTCTTGACGTTATGAACACCTATGGAAGGATTTCTGACCAATTTGGTATAGTTGTCCGTGATGTGCGAGAGCGTGGGCGAGATATTGAGGGTATCATCAAGCAGTGGTTTGGATTCGTTAAGCCAAACTTTGAGAAGGTGAGTCTGCTGTATCAAAAACATAGAACCTCTACAAAGGCTAACTGACACCCTCAAGTTTGTTGAACCTCAACGAAAGGTTGCCGATTTGATCGTGCCGAGAGGAATAGAGAACAGAGTTGCACTTGGTGAGTAATCCCAAATCTTGAAATACCGGCGTAAACGCTCATGTTCGTAGAAATGATGGTTCAGTTTGTCGAGAAGAAGCTGTTCGAGAAATCACGACATCATCGAGAGGCACTGTCCCGTCTGGAGGCAGCAAGTAAGGATTCGCCGCTTTCTGAACGGGTTGTGGTCTTGGATGATACACGACAGCTCAAATTCATGAACACCATTCTTCAAGACATCGACACAGATCCTGAGGATTTCATCTTCTACTTTGACAGGCTTGCTAGTCTGATCATTGAACAGTAAGAGACTGAGAGGCCGTGAGTATGAAAGATTGTGTGTTCGCTAACACTTCATAGGGCCCTCAACAATGCCCATTTCGAGGCCAAGAATATTGTAACACCTCAAGGATATGAATACAAGGGTCTTATATCAACGGGTGAGGTCTGCGCCGTTATTGTACTCCGAGGAGGATCGGCGTTTGAGCCGGCGCTTCGAAAGACTATTCCCGACTGCCGAACGGGTCGTCTTCTTATCCAATCCGACTATTCCACGGGAGAGCCGGAACTTCATTACTTACGACTACCTGATGATATTGCAGATCAAGAAAGCGTCTTGCTTCTGGACACCCAGATGGCCACTGGAGGTGCAGCGTTGATGGCGGTGCAAGTCCTGGTCGATCACGGCGTAAAACAGGATCGTATTGTTCTAGCAACCTACTCGGCCGGCAAGGTTGGACTTCACAGATTGACGTCCGTTTTCCCAGAGATTACAGTCGTGGTTTGCAACATGCTCGACTACCAACAAGAACGATGGGTCGAGAAGAGGTATTTCCGCTGCTGATGGACTACTCCCATATATAGTATACTTCTGTCATGATATATAATGGCAGAAGCTTGGAAACAACACCGTGATAGTGGTAGTCAAATCAAGATTGATGATAAGGATTATCGGAATGTCCGATAATTATATCCGTAAAGGAAGCAAATACACGAACAACGCTGCATTTAGTCGCTGCGTCAGCTCTTCGCAATCTTGAGATCCACCACAATTGGCATCTCATCAGCATCTGTAACGTAACTGATCCACGACTAGGATCCACGAAACGGGACGTCCGAAACCAACAGGATACTTGGAAAAAAGAGGAGCCACTCGGTGATATTTGACGCAAGCCGGCCAAAGTCATGACATGGCGGCCGACATATCCGAGAAATCGATACGGCTTCAACTGAATACCTGTGTTTGTCTATATGTGGCCTATGATTCAATGACGATGGCAAATGAGATATTGATGTTTGAAGTGCGACATGCTGTACGGTAGTGGAGTCGCCGATCTTCGGTTGTCATGGATCGCCAAGAAATTGCCCAGGTGGTGGTGATGAAGGAGAGCTCTAGTAATGACGTAGCTGTACCGTGCTGTAAGTACCACCCTCTCACCCTCAATGGACTGGAAGTCTCAGCTGCAACCACCTTTCAGCCCAGTTCATCCCTGGTTCAAGAGCTCCGTAAACGGGAAAATCCTTTTTTTAGATGCATGCATTACACAATACAATTGAAACTTGAAGACTCTTTTTTCTCTTCTTCACTTTTGTTCTCTTCTTGCATCATCCATTGAGTGCTCTCTCACTAACATTTTGTGTTTCTACTCGTGCCATGATCTAGAAAGCACCAAACGTTTCTTCAACCTTGTTGGCTTATCATTGACGTCGAACATCCCACCAATTCCGCAAAATAATGCCCGTCTCTTCCATGATGGCCGCGCGACTGGCTCGCGCCGGCCAAAACAGGGCCATCGCCAGCTCTCGATGCTTCAAACCGTCTCTCGCTCCTCGCCCGCTATACGCGGCGCAATCGCGAAGCTTCGTCAAGCTCACAGGCACATCGCCATCAATCACAAAGGGCTCTCCAGCAGCTAGCCGAACCACCCGCCAATTACCCTCCCAGTTCTTCGTGCGCGCTTTATCAGGAAAACCACTCCCCCAAGGAAAGTCGAGAGTCGTTAACTTTTGCTACCGCTTAGCAGCTTGGGTTGGCATTTCGATATCAGTTATCGGCGTTGGTATCGTTGGCTTCTTCATCTATGATGCCAGCACATATTTCGAGCACCCCACTCAGAGCGATATCGACATCTCAAAGATTGCCCTTCAGCCTCGCAATGGTGGCGAAAAGAACCTGCCAATCGCTGAGGTATTCATTGACGATGACGACTCAGAGGAGAAACGTCGCCTGAAAGACAAGCCACGACTAGTTATTCTTGGTGGCGGATGGGGAGGTGTCGCGCTCCTCAAAGAGCTGAACCCAGACGATTACCATGTTACTGTTATTTCGCCAACCAACTACTTCCTCTTCACCCCTATGCTTCCCTCAGCTACAGTCGGTACCCTCGAGCTGCGATCTCTTGTTGAGCCTATCCGACGAATTCTTAGTCGAGTAAACGGTCACTTCATTCGCGCCAAGGCTGAGGATATCGACTTCTCGCACAAGATGGTGGAAGTATCACAGGTTGATGCAAACGGTAAAGACATCAGGTTCTATGTGCCGTATGATAAGCTTGTCGTTGCTGTCGGTTCAACAACCAACCCTCACGGTGTCAAGGGTCTGGAGAATGCCTACTTCCTGAAGGATATCAATGACGCGCGTATGATTCGAAACCAGGTCATTCAAAACTTCGAATTGGCCAACTTGCCTACATGTCCGGATGAGGAACGAAAGCGTCTACTTTCATTCTGTGTCAGTGGTGGTGGCCCTACAGGTGTCGAGTTCGCTGCTGAGCTTTTCGACCTTCTCAACGAGGATTTGACGAGACACTTCCCCCGACTTCTACGTAACGAGATCTCAGTCCATCTTATCCAGAGCCGTGGACACATTCTGAACACATACGACGAGACTGTTTCACGATATGCTGAGGAACGCTTTGCTCGCGACCAAGTTGATGTCCTCACCAACTCTCGTGTCAAGGAGGTTCTCCCTGACAAGATCATTTTCACACAGAAGCAAGAGGATGGCACAATGATCACTAAGGAGCTGCCTATTGGCTTCTGCCTTTGGTCGACTGGTGTTTCGCAAACCCAATTCTGTCAAACACTGGCTGCTAAGCTTGGCAAGTCTCAGACCAACCGACATGCCTTGGAGACTGACACTCACCTTCGTCTCAATGGCTCACCCCTAGGCGATGTATACGCCATCGGTGATTGTTCCACTGTCCAGAACAACGTTGCCGACCATGTCGTCACTTTCCTCCGCTCTTTGGCCTGGAAGCGTGGCAAAGACCCTGAGACACTTCAGCTCAGTTTCGCTGACTGGCGAGGTGTTGCTGAGGACGTCAAGAGACGATTTCCTCAGTCCATCAACCATCTCAAGCGCGTGGACAAGCTATTCAAGGAATTTGATAAGGACAAATCTGGCACACTCGACTTCGATGAATTAACACAACTGCTGAAGCAAGTCGACGACAAGCTCACATCCTTGCCTGCTACTGCTCAGCGCGCTCATCAGCAAGGACAATATCTTGCTCGCAAATTCAACAAACTGGCCCGCATGCATGAGGGCCTGAACGCCAACGACATTCGCGAGGGTGATGTTGATGCCGCTGTTTACAAGGCCTTTGAGTACAAGCACCTAGGCAGTCTCGCTTATGTTGGTAACTCTGCCATCTTTGATCTTGGTGAGGGTCGAAGCCTGGCTGGTGGTCTCTGGGCTGTCTATGCTTGGCGCTCCGTCTACTTTGCTCAGAGCGTGAGTTTGCGAACACGACTATTGATGGCTATGGACTGGACCAAGCGAGGTCTTTTTGGACGAGGTTTGTATCCCTTATCATTTTCACAGACGTCTCTAACAATAAACAGATTTAATGAGTTTTTAAACCGACTTCTATGACATACTTTAATATTTATCATTTTCTTTAGACCTTGAGGCGTTGGAGCTTAGCATAGAGGCATAGCAGGACTTGCGAAAAGCACGTTTGTAGACGCGGTGTTGCAGAGGAATCGCAAGCCTGATTTGCTTGATGGAGTTATGCTCTATGAGTTACGCTTCTTGAGGCCTTTTCGCAGCAAAAGTCGAAATATTATTTTCTCCCTAAAACACCTAGACGCCCATCTATCTTCTATTATATCATGAAGTCCTTGTATGTCCACTTCTCTGTAAACTTGCGCTTGGCCTGCTTGTGGAAAGCAATATGTCTTCTACTCTCTACCTTGCCGCGCACCAACATGCTTCGGTATCTGTCCCGCAGCATGTTACCCTCAGGCTTGAGACGTCGCAGCGAACTCTCCAGCTCATCTGGAAGAACAAGCTCAAGATCCCGTTCAGGAAGCTTGTACTTGCCGAGCTGCTTGCGCCGCAACTTCTCGGCACGAAGCTCATCAATAGGGTCGGTTTCGTCGTCTTTTTGCAAGACAAGTGCCTTGTTGCGATCTCTCTCCTCAATTTCCTCGGCGATCTCTTGGATGCGCTGAGCTTGGCGACGGTGGGCCTTGATGGCGGCCTTGTGTTTCGCGAGACGCTCCTCTTCCTTGCGGCGCTTGATGCGATTGCGCTGAGCTTGGGTCTTTCTCTGTGGGCGCTTGGCAGATGGCTTGTCATCTTCAGCACCACTCTGGAATCCTTCCCATTCGGAATCCTCCTCCCATTCTGAAAGGTTGGCACGAGCCTCTGCGGCCTCTGCCTCGGCTGCTGATCGGGCAGCAGCCTCCTGCTTAATGCGCTCCTGTTCCTCTTTCTCCAGACGTTTGCGCTCAGCTTCAAGAGCCTTCTCGCTCTCCTCTTCCAGACGTTGTGTGTACTCGTTGAAATCAGGGTTGTAACTGTATCCTCCCGTGGGCTTGAGGACAGCAGGCACTTGCTTGCCACTCTCCAACAAAGAAAGGGGCTCCTTCTTCATCGACTTTGGAGCCTTGGGCTTGACCTCCTCTTCCAAGAAGTTTTCGGGATCCTTCGCCTTTGGCTCTACAGGCATGTCCCAGATATCATAGGTGGCATCTTGTACTTGGACAGTGTTCTGGTGTTCTCCATCAGCCACTCGCTTTAGTCGGGCGAGCTCCTTGTGTGACACCCAATCAGTCCTTTGGCGCTTCACAGGAAGAATTCCGTTTGTTGTCTTGTCGCCTGGTCGCTTGCGCATGGAAACGGCGGGCACGGGAGAACGGGCATTGATAATCTCGTCAGCCTTTAGACCTTTCTTGATGTGCTTGTTGAACTTTTTTGTGAGACCGGCATCGCCCTTGGTATCGAGAAGGAACAAGTCTTCAGAGGACTTTTCCTTGATGACACCACTATTAGGGAATTAGCAAAGCGACAAAGAAGTGTTGAGAGTCTAGCTTACCCAGCGATAATCTCCTTATTCAATTCTTCAAGACCCTTCTGCACCTCGGTAACATCAACGTTTTTCCTCCACGCCTTCTTGCCTTTTCGTGAAGGCTGATTGAACTGCTTGGGGGCATCGCCTCCCGTGGCGTTCTTGGATTGTAACACTGGCATATTTGCGAGACCTCTCTGGAAAAGGATATCGCGTTGTCGATAATGAAGGACGAAAATGCTGCTTGTCGATAGAAGTGGTGGGGGACCGATTTCTTAATTTTTTAATGGAGCCGGGAGTCTCGACCCGCTACCTCCATATAAAATACGGAAGCAAAGCAATCAAGCGCTTGACTCGATGGGGACTCCGTAATGGACGGCGAAGATATGTTCTTATCGGCACGTGCAACTTCCTCGGATTCGTTCAGGGTGGCCTCCATGTCATATGCTCCTGCCAAATCCAGGATCTAGACGCTCCTTTCTCCAGATTCCAGCTGGTAATTAGCCTTTTATCCCTACAATACAAATTGCCACTCTGAGGTCGCATCATTCTGTTATTCTTTCCTTTTCTTGCGTCGCCAAGACAGAGAATCTATTCCTCGAGGAAACCAAGATCGCATCCCTTCCAGCGGCCTCATATCTAGCTTGACAGCTGTCAAATCCACCGTCCCTTACAAGACTCCGAACGAGACATCAGAACCGCAAAGATGTCGCAGGCTGGCGGATCCTACAATAACCCCTTGAAGAAGTTCAAGTGTGTACATCGAGCATTTATGATTAAATTATTCAGCTAATAGATGTTCAGGTTGGTGTTTCTAGGAGAACAGAGTGGTATGTCGATGTCCGACTGCGGAACCGTCCCGATCAAAATCACTAATATCGATCACAACAGTCGGAAAGACCTCTTTAATCACACGATTCATGTATGATTCTTTTGACAACATGTATCAGGCGACAATTGGCATTGATTTCCTCTCCAAGGTCAGGACCGTGACAGCCGACTCCTAGGCCACACTAACATCTGCCCACTTAGACCATGTACCTCGAGGACCGGACGGTGCGACTGCAGCTATGGGATACTGCTGGACAAGAACGTTTCCGAAGCTTGATTCCTTCTTACATCCGCGATTCAAGCGTAGCTGTTGTTGTCTATGATATCTCTAGTATGTGCCCCTGATGACCCCACTACCCGGCTACCCCCTCGCCTTCAATGTGGCTATGCACGAGTCGTGCTAACACCGCTCTTCTTATAGACGCTAAGTCATTCCAAAACACCAAGAAGTGGATCGACGACGTACGAGCCGAGCGAGGTAACGATGTTATTATTGTGCTGGTTGGAAACAAGACAGATTTGAACGACAAGCGGGAAGTTACCACACAGCAGGGAGAGGAAGAGGCAAAGAAGAACAACCTGATGTTTGTCGAGACGAGCGCAAAGCTGGGTCACAACGTCAAGAACCTGTTCAAGAGGATAGCACAAGCCTTGCCTGGCATGGAGGGAAGCGATGCCGCGGCGCAAGCTTCGAACCAGAGTGAGTATTTATGCCCGGCATCTCCGAAGGTAACTAACACGATGCTTAGTGATTGATGTCAAGACAAACAACTCGCAGCAATCGCAAGAGGGCTGCGCATGCTGAATACGTCAACACCGATTCGGACTGGAGTACAGGAGTATCTGGGAAAACGCAAGCCGTGCTCGAGATGCGAAAGAAGCCTGGCTACCTCGCACACAAAATAGGATATCAAGCATAGCGTGTGGATCTGAGTGCAGGAGCTTGTATAATACAACCAGGACTACGAGCCTACGATCGTTATATAAGAAACTTTAATGTTGATTCGACTGGCTTGAGCTGGTCAATCATTTCGCTTCTATCTCGTTGCGCTTTCATCAGCCATGCCGCTTCAGAATATCTTATTATATGGTTATCCAATCCATTCCCTTCATCGTGAGTGTTCTCCACATTTTGTTCATCGGGCTTGGCAATCATCCATCAACAGTTGTTGCATCTTCAGTGCCTCGTTCCCGGTTTATACTCTGAGCCGTTTAAGCCGCATTTTGTACTTGCACCTCACCATTGGCGAGACCGAAATAAGCAGCAATTGGCTTCTGTGCTTGAAGTTGCTTGCCCAGTTTGACGGCTTCACTGCCATTAAAGCCGTGGAACAGTCCAATTTCAACGATGCCAGGGGTTCGAACCAATTCCTCGGCGAGCGCATTAACTTCCCAGGCACCGTCCTTTCCACGACCATCCGCTTCCGACTTGATGTCCTTGGAAAGAAGCAAGGGAGAGAACGGGGCGTCGATAAGCCACATACCGTTGTCTGTTACACATTCTCCAGCTTTGCTAGGGAGGCCTGAACGAACAACAGGGTTGGGCGAGCCCATTGCTCGAAGACGGGTCAAGACATCAGGGGCAGATAGGGGAAGAACCTCAATGGGAATTGTCTTCCAAGTGGTACATAATCTAGGAGATTGCTTTCGGTAATCTGTTAATTGTCAGTTTATTTCAAATTTGTCATAAACAAAAACCCTCGGTGCATACCAGCGACGGCAATGAACTTCTTAGCAGCAATTGCTACCAATTTCTCCTGGAACAGACAAGCACCACCACCCTTGATAAGATTGAGATCCTCATCGACCTCATCAGCGCCGTCAAAGGCAACGTCAAGAGGAACAGGAAGCCCATCCACGACAGGTCTCTCATCAAGGTTGACAAGGTTGAGACCAGCAGCACGAATGAGACCCTTCGACTGGCTTCCAGTAGGAATAAAGGTCATTCCCTTGTAGAACTCGGGGCCCTTGCTGACAATGGCGTCGACAACGTAAACAACAGTACTGCCAGAGCCGATGCCGACGAATTTGTAAGAAGCATCGAGGTGGTCATTGACTGCCTGATAGGCGGCCAATTTCTTGGCCGATTCGACTAGGTTTGCTGAAGACATGGCTCTCGAATTGGACCTGTAAGTGAGACTGAGACCTTGAGTCTGTTTACAGCTGCGTATGTGGGTTGGTGGGATGTGCAGGACCCCGCGGTGCGGATGACGAGGGGTCGTGGGGAGATATCGTGGAGAAGTGTAGGGTAATTGAGTTGAGAATAACCTAGCACCTCGAGCCGATGTTCTAATCAAGGGGAAAGTCTGAGATGTAGGAACTAGAGTTTGTATGGAGGGTAATAGTGTAATATAAAGGTGATTCTTGAGAGAGTGTGTAGGAGGAAAACACGCAGTTCCGACTAGAGCCGGCGACTTTCTGGTGGAGAGATGTAAAAGCCACTTCATGTAGGAAGACAAATGGACCCTGTTTGCCAAGGACAGGCAATAAGCAAGCTTGGAAAAATACGGCAAAATAGAAAGTCAGGGTATCTATCAGGGCACGAATGGGCAGTCAGAAGAGGATCACATGTGATTAACTTCTCTCAGTCAACTCAACTCCATGGAAGTCAGATCAGGAAGATGTCCTGTCGTGTCTTGCGAATCAAGAGCTTCGATTTAGCGGGCCAGCGAAACGGAAATCTGAGGAGGATCAAGAGACTCAATTGGTTTTTTCTAAACCTACCGCACTTCACCTAGAAGAGGCAAGCACAAGCGCAGAAAGATAATCTACAGCTTGGGCGGGTTTGGGGCGGATTTGGGGTTGCAGCAAGTGACGTGATGGCTTGCTGTCACCACCCAAAACTCAAAAGATTTAAGATGCTGCGTCAGCATTATGATTGGCTGACATGTTTTTAACTCAGCCCAGCTTTTTGACGATTACCACGTGATTTAAGATTACACCGGCAGTCTCGGGCGCAAGTTCTTGAAGCAGACCCTGGTTGCATCATTCATTTGTCCCTGCAATTTCGTTCTTCTCCTGCGCGTTCCTTATTCAGTCTTGATATCAACAAACGACGAGGAATAGTCCATTGAGTTCGAAGGTCCCGGAAGGAAACATCATACTTTCAAGAGAACGCACCGCCATGTCTCGGTTTACTCGATCCCTCCGGGTACCCCGGCCTAAGGTAAGGAGGAGCACGCGACTCGATCCTGACATCGTCTCACGAGGACGGCGATGAGGTCAACAAATGCTAACTGAACTGTTTGCAGAGCCTATTCGGCATCACAAGCCTCCAGACCGGCGTCGAACTCATCGCTCTGGCTCTCGTCTTCAACAAGATCACTGGCGTTTACGGACTCCTGGCCATTCTTACTGGATATCAGCTATCTCTCCTTCAGCTCTCAACATACGTATACTCTATCGCGGTTCTCGTAGGACTAGCAATTCTCATTCCTCATGTTCGACGACAGAGCCCCTTCGAATGTTTGGCGCTCGCGTGGCTTTACATCATCGATACCGTTATCAATGCAGCATACACCGCAGCCTTTGGCCTGGACTGGTACTTCTCTACTCAACTGAGCGAGACAACCGAATCCAAGAAGACGGATCTCCCTAACTTTGTGGCTGAGGGTATGCAAGGCCTGCGGAAGGAGGCTGCCATGCATGGCAAAGTCGTTCCTCAGGAAACGGCTGCCAGCATGTTGCTGATTGTTGGCGCGACGTTGATCCGCGTATATTTCAGTTTCATCGTTATGGCGTATGCACAGCAGGTGTTGCAAAAGTATATGCAACTGATGATTCTGGAAGGCCCTGGCGTTGATGACCAAGAGGGTCCTTTCGCTGAGGATCTTCCTGACGGTGAGGGCCGCCGGGGACGCCTTGGCCGTTTGATGGTATCATGTGGCAGGGCTTACTGGCTTGACACCCGGGAGTCTGACGAATGGGCTCCCAATCTGGGAGGACCTAACAAGCCCGTCTCAGCGGGCACGCTCTCTGGCGAGGTTTAAAACCGTTTGATATGGAATCTACCGCGAATCACTGGGCGACCTTGATGAATTGATCTCAGGATCAGAAGTCAGAGATGAACAATAAGCGAACAGGCCGTGAGGGAGATGATGTCTTCTCTTTGCAACATATGAGCGGTGTTTCAGGTTCAGCAATTCGCATGTCCATGGTCAGTGGACCAACACGATAGACGGAGTTTGTCAGGGAAGAATGTGGTACCTTGAAGATTCAACGGGAAACAAGCATGAAATCAAGTCCAATCCAGCACGGAAAGTATGCCGACGATGACTCGGCCAGCACGGAGGAAGTGCGGCATATGCGGCGAAATCGCGGCATGCTGTGGATCCTCTGAACGGCCGCTGCGGGCTATCTGAGCGGATGAGCCGACATAAGATGTTGAGAGCGGATTGCGTGATAGGACGATCCCAGTTCAATGCTGAAAGACGTGAGAGGCACATGATATTATCTCGTCATTGCACATTGGGTCATCGTGGATCGATGTACGCAAGGTTATTCTCTTGTATACTAGAGTTGTTCTGGGTTATGAACTGGGTGCATTGAGTACAAAATATTGGGATAATGATAATACTTGCTACACAGCTTAGCACCTAATACACTTTTAGTTAGACAATGAAATTGAATACTAAGACCTGTCCTTTCACAAGCTGCCATTGCCATCATTGTTTACTTTCACCTTGATATGGTTTCATTGTAGAAACCGGCCAATGATATATGAGCAGTTAATCAATCAGTAAGCCTCAGTATAAAGTAGCTAGCCTCCGTCCTCGGACACTCCCGCCTACGGAGGCAGCGAGAGGGTATCTTCCGATATGGATAGTTAATGTCTGTGCTTCTTAGATGACTCTTTTCTTTCCGATGCATGACCTCAGATATTGTGAGATCGTGAACATAGCCGACAGGATTACCAATTGCCTCCGTCTCAGATATGAATGATGAAATCGTAAAGTAAGCTCATGAACCCTCAGGGTCCAATATCATTGGAAGAAATGAGGAACATACGGACACCGGCCGGTAGTCGGAGCGATCCCTGTAATTCGCAAGTGGTTTTTCGTTTCTGGGGTGGTCATGCAATTCTTCGCAACGAAAGAATCTCTCATCATTTTGGTAATTCTTGCGCGGACCGTCGGTGGCCCAACAGCATCCCTCAGCAGGAACTCGGGGTGGGTCCAGCTCGCCATGTACCCCTGTACGTATCTCCTGCCCAATGCCGGTGTTCGCGCGGGGAGCTTCATTGGCTGATGGCATTACATAAGGCGCAACAGGCCAATTGCACAACAGCTCGAAGCAAATCCAAAGCTCCTCATTCGCTATCGGTGGTCGCGGAGTCGTGCACTGGCCTGGTTCCAGCGGAAGGCGCGACCCTGAGAAAGCACCCCCAATGTCGACAGGACGTACTGAGCCCCGCCGTCCGGGGCATAGCATCCCGCTAATCGATCACGCAATCGAGGGCGAGGATTCATACAAGCCAATCTTGTGGCCATTGAGCGGCGTCTGGATGGAATTTGCAGCTGTTTTTCTAACTAAATTAATGGCGCGGGGAAAAAAATCGGCGAATGGAAAAGAAAAAATAAGACGTGCGAATGAGCAAAAGCACAGCCGAGGGACCGGACCCAGTAGACAAGACCAGACGGAACGAGGGGCGTCTCTAAAGTTAAGGCAAAAGGGCGTGTCTCTGCTCGCTCCAGTTTACAAACTTCTTTCCTTTCCTTTGGACGTTGAGAGCCAGAGGGAAGAAACCTTTTTCTAATTCTATAGAAAAGGAAGAATACCACTCACGATCCTCGGATCTTGCTTTGTTGAGCGAGACCGTCATTGAGATTTCTTTCCTTTCTCTCCATCTCTCTCTCCTCCATCTTCCTCTTATACATCACTCTCCCTTCACCGAGTGAGGCGCAAGCAGCTTTGTCTGCTCTGTCTGTTTAAAAGACAGTTCGATCATAATACCCGACGAGCCGAAGACGACGACGGAAAAGGACACAATGGACGCTGCCTCACAGCACCAGATCAAGACTCCTGAGGAGGCTGGTGAGTTTTCCTATATGCCAGACGTTGGAGGCGGTACCGGGATGCTGCATGAGTTGGAGATAACCTGTCACACTGCAAAGCGATTGAGCTTTGTCCGCGCAGATGGAACGTCTGCAGATCAGAGTGAACAGGAACTTCTCAATCTCAATCATTTCAGCTTGCCCCGCAACAAGACCAATTGATTGCTAATGCGCTTCTCACAGTGGCTCGAATTGCCTACCTCTCCAGCGATGTCGTTGTTTCTGTCCAGCCCGCGATTGGCACCGACTCCGAATTCTCCTCTCACCTGAACCGATACGCCAGCCGCAAGGACAGCAGCTTGGTCGCTCAGAGTGCTGATACAGTTCCTGAGGTTAGTCTGCTCAAGGGCAATTTACCCCTCCTAGATGCTCTCCGAAAAATCTCCGATCTTCTTAGGAGGACTCTATGAGCGACTACTACTCATAAACCTATGAAGAGGAATATGGTTTGAATGGTTTATACATCGAGTTCGCTCATTGAGCCATTACCATATTGAACCATGTAATTGAATTTAGCTGACTGTCAAACCAGATCATCCCTGTACGACACAACACCGATCCTCTTCTCTCAGTATACACACCCATCCGAGCTGGAAAGCTCGTCTCAGTCACCACCACGTCCCACATTCTGCTCCCCTCCGTCTCACACCTATACAAATTGGCCAACTACCCTGTTGTCCTTCACGTCTCTCTTCAGCCCCGGACGTTCCCCGACTACTCGGTTATCACCGCCATTCGTAACTCGGGATTCACATTTGTTCAGTCTGAGACCCTTCAGGAGGCTCAAGATTTGGCTCTGACTGCTCACGCCCTTGCTGTCCGAACTGGTAAGGGTGTCGTTCACTTCTTTGCCCCTTCTACATCGGCAAAGGACAAGCCTATTGCCATCGAGGATGCCGCCGTTGTTCGTGACGTTCTCGACATCGAGAGCGTTCGCCGATTCCAAGCCGGCTCTGCTCCCTCTTCACAGACCGGCATCTACGCGGATGATGGCCACATTGCCGTCTCTTCAGACCACGATGCGCCAGCAGTGAATGGTGCCGCCGCGAGTGGAAACCTCACTGTACCCCCTAGCGCCAACGCCTCCAAGGCTCCCTCAGCTGGAACATCGGTCAAGTCCAGCCAAGATAGCGAGGCCAGCACTCCTGTTGCGCCTTCATCAGTCGCCACCACCGTTGAGACTGCCCCCCCTCAGGTTACCTCCGAGGATATTTACAAGTCCGCTGGACGTATCTGGGCTCAGCTCAAGGCATCAGTTGGCCGGGAGTACAGCGCCTTCGAGTACTCTGGCCCTCCTGACGCTGAGAACTGCCTCTTCATCTTTGGTTCCGATGCCGGTGCTTTCGCTCAAGCCATCGACGAGGCCCGCCCTGAGGAGATCTTCGTCAACACCGCCATCCTTACTCCTCGCCTCTACCGACCTTGGATCGGCTCTAGACTTGTTGAGGCCATTCCTCGCTCGGTCAAGCGAATTGCCGTGTTGGAGCAAATTCACCGCAAGACTACCAAGTGGGGCCCTCTCCTCATTGACGTCTTGACTTCCGTGAAGAGCGGTCCTGGTGGCGTTGAGGCTATTGTTGGCCACCAGCTTGGCTATATTGCCCCCGATGTCGTCGTTCAGGCCCTGCGTGGTGTTCTGCAGAACCTCACTGCCGAGAAGCCTATCCAAAACCTCGAGGTCGGCAAGAAGGAGGCTTGGAAGGAGCCTACTGGTTATGACCTCCAGACTCCTCAGCTCGAGACCGCTTATACCAAGATTCTTGATCAGCTCTTTGGCAAGCGAGCTTACGTTGCCAATGCTATCAAGTCTTCTACCACTGGCCTTTCCCCTAATGTTGCTGCTAGCCCCGAGTTCGGCTTCGGTTCCCTCCTGGCTCGCAAGCAACGTCGTGGCCAGTTCGTTTCTCAAGTCAAGGATGCTGCTACCAACGGTAGTTTCACTACCGATGCTCCCAAGAGCTGGCTGGCACGATGGGCTATGAACGCTGATGATGCCACCAAGTCTACTGAGATTGCCGACGATGTCATTGCTAGACTGGAGACCGATGGCTCTTCTCTGGCTGCTGAGCTCCTTTCTGCTAAGGGTCTTTTCCGAAAGGAGTCCCTCTGGCTGACTGGTTCTGATGCCTGGTCTTACGATCTTGGCAACTCTGGTGTTCACCACGTCCTTGCCTCTGGTGAGAATGTTAACATGCTCATCATCGACTCTACTCCTTACTCGGAGAGGGCTGCTGCTGATGCTAACCGCCGCAAGAAGGACATTGGTCTCTACGCCATGAACTTCGGTAACGTATATGTTGCATCCACTGCCGTCTACAGCTCATACACCCAAGTTCTCCAAGCCCTTCTTGAGGCTGACAAGTTCGAGGGCCCTTCCGTCGTTCTTGCTTACCTCCCTTACTTCGGTGAGACCGACTCTCCTCTCACTGTTCTCCAGGAGACCAAGAAGGCTGTTGACACTGGTTACTGGCCTCTGTATCGATGGAACCCCGACAATGAGAAGAAGGGCGAACCCAACTTCTCTCTCGACTCTGAGCTGATCAAGCAAGAGCTCAAGAAGTTCCTTGCCCGCGACAACCAGCTCACTCAGCTGGCTGCCAAGGAGCCTAAGTTTGCCGCCGCCCTTGTCAAGGACTTCGGAAGTGAGGTGCGAGCTCAACAAAAGAGGAAGGCTAAGGATGCGTACAACCAGCTCCTCGAAGGTCTTTTGGGCGCTCCTCTCACCATTCTATATGCTTCTGACAACGGCAATGCTACTACTCTGGCCAAGCGATTGGCTAGCCGAGGTCGTGCTCGCGGCTTGAAGACTACTGTTATGGCTATGGAGGATTACCCTGTCGAGGATCTCCCTACTGAGGAGAACATTGTTTTCATCACTTCTACCGCTGGTCAGGGTGAGTTCCCTCAAAACGGTCTGCCTTTCTGGGACGCTATCAAGGACAACACTGGTCTCGACCTCGCTGCCGTCAACTACTCCATCTTTGGTCTTGGTGACAGCCACTACTGGCCTCGAAAGGAGGACAAGATCTACTACAACAAGCCTGCCAAGGATCTTGACCGTGTTTTGACCAACCTTGGTGGTAAGCATCTGATCGATATCGGTCTCGGTGATGATCAGGACCCCGACAGCTTCCAGACTGGTTACCAGGAGTGGGAGCCCAAGCTCTGGACCGCCCTCGGTGTCGATAAGGTCGATGGCCTTCCCGATGAGCCCCCGCCTATCACCAACGAGGACATCAAGCTGGCCTCCAACTACCTCCGTGGTACCATTGTTGAGGGTCTAAACGACCCCACCACTCTTGCTATCTCGGCCTCCGACCAGCAGCTCACCAAGTTCCACGGAACATACATGCAGGACGATCGTGACATCCGAGATGAACGAAAGGCCCAGGGTCTTGAGCCCGCCTACTCTTTCATGATCCGATGCCGTCTGCCTGGTGGTATCTCCACTCCCAAGCAGTGGGTTCAGATGGACGACATTGCCAATGAGCTTGGTAACGAAACCATGAAGCTCACTACCCGACAGACCTTCCAGTTCCACGGTGTTGTCAAGAGCAAGCTCAAGCCTGCTATGCAAGCTATCAATCGAGCCCTCATGACCACCATTGCTGCCTGTGGTGACGTGAACCGAAACGTCATGTGCAGTTCGCTCCCTACCCAGTCCAAGTACCACCGTCAAGTCTTTGCCTGCTCTCAGCTTATCAGTGACCACCTCTTGCCATCAACTACTGCATACCACGAGATTTGGTTGACTGATGATGACAACAAGAAGACCCAGGTTGCTGGTGATGCTGTTCAGGACTTCGAGCCTCTCTATGGCCCTACTTATCTCCCCCGAAAGTTCAAGATTACTATTGCTATCCCCCCTCACAACGATACTGATGTGTATGCTCACGACATTGGTCTGATTGCTATCAAGGGAGAGGACGGCAACCTTGCCGGTTTCAACGTTCTTGCTGGTGGTGGTATGGGTGCTACCCACAACAACAAGAAGACATATCCCCAGACTGGTCGCATGTTCGGTTTTGTGAAGACCGAGGATGTGCACATTGTCTGCGAAAAGATCATGCTCGTCCAGCGTGACAACGGTGATCGCAAGAACCGAAAGCACGCTCGTCTCAAATACACCATTGATGACATGACTGTGCCTGTCTTCCGCAGCAAGGTTGAGGAGCTCTGGGGCAAGAAGTTTGAGAATGAGCGACCTTTCGAGTTCAAGAGCAACGTTGATACCTTTGGCTGGCAGAAGGATGAGCACGGCCTCAACCACTTCACGTTTTTCATCGAGAACGGTCGTATTGAGGATACCCCTGAGTTCCAGATGAAGACTGGTCTGCGTGAGATTGCCAAGTCTCTTAAGGGCCAGTCTGAGTTCCGTCTTACTGGTAACCAGCATTTGATTCTCAGCAACGTCGCTGATGAGGATCTTGACGATGTCAAGCAGCTCATGAAGAAGTACAAGCTCGACAACATCCAGTTCTCAGCTCTTCGTCTCAGCTCCTCCGCTTGTGTCGCTTTCCCTACTTGTGGTCTTGCCATGGCTGAGTCTGAGCGATACCTGCCTGTGCTCATCTCCAAGCTGGAGTCATGCCTTGAGGAGAACGGTCTTCGCCAGGACTCTATTGTTATGCGTATGACTGGTTGCCCCAACGGTTGTGCTCGTCCTTGGTTGGCTGAGGTTGCTTTCGTCGGTAAGGCGTACGGTGCTTACAATATGTACCTTGGTGGTGGTTACCATGGCCAGCGCCTTAACAAGCTATATCGCCAGAGCATTAAGGAGGATGAGATCCTCGCCATCATGAAGCCTCTCCTTAAGCGATATGCTCTTGAGCGAAACGAGGGTGAGCGCTTTGGTGACTTCTGTGTCCGCTCTGGTATCATTGTTGCTACCACTGATGGCCAGAACTTCCACGATAACGTAAGTACACTTGAATCCATTGCAAGTAACAAGAACTAACAGTCTTCCAGGTTGCCGAGGAAGAAGAGGACGAGGAATAGATCACGACTTAAAAGGACTGGACGAAAATTATGGTTAGCATCAGCCGGAACAGGAAAAGAATGAAGGATCTGTTGGATGAACCTTGATATCATGATTTGTTGCTTTATTTTGCATAGCTTGATGTGGTATTTACTTGGCCGGCGCAACTGATAGGAACGCATTTATTCCATGTAGAAACACTTTCGCAATGATTTGAGACTTTGCGTGAACGATCTAGATTGTTGAATTATACAGACTTTATCTCAACTTTCAAGCCTAAAGTTTAACCCTTGCTTCACGTTGATGAACATTTGATCGAGATTATCTTAACAAGCATCGTATTGAACCCGGGGTATACACATCTATCCTCTGCTATTTACACAATTCCTACCCCAGAAGCGAATTCCTCACATATAGCCATTAAACAAAACATTCCGATCAAAACATTCGTTGCCTCGACAATCATGGTCGGCATCATATAGTTTTCGAGAACTCATCTGCTCCATCGTCATCCTCCAAGCGAAAAGAGCTGGGATTGGTTCATCATTTCCATGCAGATGTAAATGTCAAAACGCCAAACCACGCCGATGCAGATGCCCATTTTCTAAATGCATAACAAAAATCAAGCGCAAATAGTTCAAGATGATGTGCACATCAACTGCGTAGGTTGCTCGACACACTGCTCATCTTGTCGTTGACTCTCTCCTTTAGGCCGCCCATCCATCGAGGTGCCTTGAGACTCAAGCGGACGCGACCCTCAACTATCATGTTGATCACGTTGAGGATGGCAAAAGTGGTGGAACCGATGGCACGGAAGACGGCGAGTGCGGCGACGGACCAGAGGAGGAAGCGCAGATAATAGTTATCGCCAATGCCTCTAGCACTGTAGATCTCCGATACGGCCATACCAAGGATACCGTTGCCGATCATCCATGTGAGGACGAGATAGGTTCGGACACTCTTGTAGTAGTCCTCTTGCAACTGAGATTCGCTAGGTGGAGGCTCAGGAACTTCGAGACGATCACGGAGGTTGCGAAGAGCCTCATCGTATCCACTGTCAATATCGAGCTGCTCGCTGGGCATTTCCAGCTCGACGGTCTCACCCTTACCCACAGCACCACCAAGATCAGTCTTCATGACGTTGTCACCCTTGGTACCCCAGGTAACATCGTGTGTGTTACAGAAGGCGTAGACTTGCAGGGTGCAGATGTAGCTGGGAAGAAGGATAAAGTACTGTGCCGAAGACGTGATCATGTGCCAGGGATCGAGATACAAGATAGACATGATGAAGTACATGCCGATCGTAGACAAGATAGATACAATCATATTCGTAAAGACATTATCACCCATCTTGATCTTGTCGTCTTTAGACGTGAGTTGGTGAATAATGATGTAAAAAGTAGCAAATGTCGTGTAAACCATAATGATGCTGTAGATGATCATACTGATAAGGTAGAGCTTCTTAGAGCCTTGAGGTCGATTACCGAGAGACAGGATAAACTGTGTTGATATGAGAAGTACACAGGCATATCGCAGGATGTGGAAGATAACGGTAGCGATGTTGTGTCCGAACGGATCGACTTTGGGATCTGTCAAACCGCCTGCAACGAAGTAGAAGGTGAGGTAGAAGTTGGCCAAGGAGAAGAAGGTGAACATGAGCTGAATGAACTGATACAAGAACTCCATGTGCAGAAGGATTTTACGAGCAAGGGTGTGGTCGGTAAACCAAATCTGCTTGAAGTGGACAAGGGAGTAAACAGCGGCAAAGAAGGCACCATTGAGCCATCGACGACGCTGCGAGATGAATTCAGGAACAGTATCTACGCTGAGTTAGTATTGCATTCGTTATTTGAAGTATTAGAATATCTTACCAGGCACATCGGTTTCACCGGTACATCCCTTGACGTACTTGAGAACCCATCTCTCACCACGTTTGGCGACCAACTCCCAGCAAAGGATACGATCTTCAGCGAGGTACATGTTGGCAGTGAAGACATCAGCGTGTTGACCATGCAATGTCTCACCCTTGAAGTACTGGCTGAGAGGACCGTGACCAGTCTCGTCATTCTGAAGCGCGTGGTATCGGTACGCACTCAGGGCACCGGGAAGGACAGTAATGTATCCGAAGACGGACTCGAGAGGTTTATCAAGGATGTTGGACATTTTATACTCGAAGTTCTGGGACGCAACGAGAGGATTGAGCAGGTTAGCGCCCAGTCTGCCCTTCATAGCCTTAATCTCTCCACAAGCGCCAGCGACGTTGGAGTCAGTATCGAAGGCCTTCCAGAGATGGTACAGCGAGGTGCCACTAGGGCGAGTACCAACATCCAGCAAGATGCAGACGTTCGGGTTGAGAGCCTTCCCAAAGGCATTGAAGAACCAACGATGAGAGTTGAGCTTGCGCTGGTTCTTTTCCTTGAGACAGAAGATCATCTGGCAAGGAACAATGCCCTTCTCGGCACCCTTGAACTTGAGGTCGGAATCGAGAGAGACCTGAGTTGTGTATTCGTAGACGTGTGCTTGCACAGCGCGGTTGTTGACATAGTTCTTTGCGATACCGTGCTGGTAGACACCCATGGCAGCGAGTGCATCTAAAGTACGAGGGTGAATCTTCTCTCGACCATCGGAGACAATGCAGACGACGATCTTTTGCCACCCAGTCTCACCCCAGGTACGGGAGCGCGATCGAGAGCAGAAGTGTGAGATGTTCTTCATGACGGCATGCATCGTTCGAGTGAATCCTATTTCATCTTCGTTGTACATGGTGACACAAATGAACAATTCCGTCTCTCGAACAGTCTTGCCAAATGTTTGTCGCAACGTGTAACCTCTTTCGACAAAGTCATCAGGGTCGCATGTGACGGCGGTGTAGCGCATGTGAGTAAATTCAACCTCGCCTCGTCGAGGCAAGAAACTGTACAGAATTGTTGGGATCTTACACTCAAGCACTAGTTCGCCGTTGATGAGCTGAACCTCTTTTCTTGCCATTTGAGGTGCGCGAACACCTCTTCTCTCTTGTGCGCCAGTCGGGGCAGGGCCATAATGCTCAACCTTGTCGTAGTCTTCCATGTCTCCCTCGTTCAGGGTGTCCTGCGACTCAGAAGACATGTATGAGCTGCGGTCAACTGGATGAGGTCGTGCATCGCTCAGGTCGGATTCAGGCGCAAAGACATCGTCATCGTAAGTATCATGCAAAGGAATGGAGATAGTCGCATCGTCAGCAATTGGCGGGACAGGCTGCCTTGAGTTTGAAAAGAGAGGCGCAGGAGGAAGTGGACGTCGTGGACTGCCGCCATATCTTGATGATGGAGTTCCTGGTCTGGGACTGCCATTCAAGTCGGAGGGCTCATACATGCCATCCGAAGGAGGAGGCCTCGATAGATCGGATCTTGTGAATCCGGACATCCGTGATGATGGTGTCCAGGGTCGCTGAGGAGAGCCATTATCATGCATGCCATAGGACACGTAGGAGCCCTCCGGGGGCGCCATTGATGGGGCATCGTCGAAGATGGAACCAGATCTCGATGATCGAACACTCGGCTGATAGTTGAGGTTTCGAGGACTTCGGATACTAGGAAGTTTGTCATGTGAGTTTATATCCCTTAAGCGGCTCAATGGGCGCGGTGGTATGGGAGGCGTCGTGTCTAATCCAAGGTGAAGTTGTTCCTTGTGAACTCTTCGTCTATCGCTGATCCCATCGGGAATCTCTGGTAGATCTCGAGGAAGATCTGCGAATGCGACATGGACACTAGTTCTGTTCTTGTTCTGCAGCTTTGCAGTCTGGCCGCCGATAATTGGCCTCTTAGGCAACAAGGTCTGGGATTCGGCCACTGATGAAGCATATGAAGGGGGATTTGGTGAAGGATGTTCTTGATTCTCATTCGAGATATTCTCTTGGGCGTCATCTTGTTGGACAGGGCTGGACCCGAAGGTCCGTTCCTCCCTTTCTGAAGACATGGTGATATTCACAGGTGAAATTGGCAATGGAGGAGGAAACGCTACTGGCGGTTTGAGAGGGGAGGGTGTTGTCTTTGAAGGTGAGGTAGAAGGGGAAGCAGAAGGAGATGGGGCAGGGCGTGCAGGAGGTGTCTGTGTCTGATTCTGGCTGGGTGATAAGGGTAGTACATACGTGTGAGAGTCGTAGTGTTCTTCGGATGTCAACAGTCTCACAGCAGCGGGACTGTAACCGGTGGGTGTGTGATGAAGGTCCTCGTCATCATATGGAGGGAGGCTGTAGTCGGGTGGGCGTGACATATTCGGGTCCATGACTGGCGAGAAGAGGCTGGAATGCAATGCAGTGGACTCGGGTACTTGCGACAATACGAGCTGAGCTATTCGAGTAACGGTTCAAGGTCTAAAAAGCGAAGGATACTTTGTATCCCGACGGCTGCTGCCGCTGAGAAGATCCGAATCGCGTACTAGAGATGGTGAAAGCAGAGTTGGTGTTGATGTTGGTTTGCGCCTCTTGTTGGTAGTTGAAACTCTGATATAAACGAGGCGTTGATTGTGTACAAGCTTGTGGTCGGTGTAGGTTCAGATCGTCGTCGAATGGCGGCGGGACAAGACAAAGACGGCAGAGACAAACAACGCGCAAATGGTATCGCAATACAAGACAATGAATGATTCTTCGGAATGCCTCCTTTTTCCTTAGGATGTTGTAGTACAATAGAACAAGTAAAGTCAAGTACGGAGCGAGCGGAGCTTTGGATCGGGTTTGGTTGCGGGTATGAGAGAGGTGAGGATCCAATGGTGGGGGAGGAGCTTAGCAAGGTAATCCAAACAAATTACGTCGCACTGTTGGCATGGCAACGCATCCCAATTCGGACAGCTCTGTCTTACACCAAGTCTCACAATTTCTGACGGCCCAGTTTATTTCAGCGACTAGAAGACTATCAGTGGAGGTTAATTAATTGCTTACATTTCTTCAACGCTCAATTCATTTCTATTGTCTCTCGCTTCTATCCTCAATTGACAATTATCATGACATTCAGAGCTCTTACTCAACTGTTTACCATGTCTCCCGAAACGCCCGAGGATGAACTACAGGTGTGACGATCACCTAGCAACAGTAACACAGCCTTCCCTAAACCATGGATCATGGCGCTTAGCATCTGAAAGTGGATACTCTATTCAACGGTCTCGATCCTACTCTGTACCTGATCGGTAAACAACAAGCAATCACAGACGTAAGCTCGGAGTATTGGAAATTCTAATTCATAGGTAGACTCAAAGGACACAAAACAAAAGAGGAAAGCGCCGGCCAAGCTAATATCAGGACTATCGAAGTAGTTTCATCCCCTGATCTGAAGGGTCGAATCTTGTCAAGACTCGATGTACACGCCAAGCTTGCAAACAAGCCTTTGTTTTTGGATAACTCTCAATAACCTTTTAACGCCACAAACACCTGGACAATGTTTTGGCTTGGCCCTATGATTCGTACTAACAAGGTCGGGGTACACACACTCTTCTAGGAACACGAACGTCTTGAAGTGAGACTGTGCGTTGATTGACAAGCCATACCCTGGACACGTCAGCCACGAGGCCAGATCACGATCAAAACAAGCATCCAGTTTAATATAGATAGGCGGGCGGGTCACAGCATAAACGAGCTTTAAACTCAATGATGCGATTTCAGAATGGCTGTAGCCACGAGAACTGCGAACCCTGGTCATGGATGCATGCGTATTTGATAAGACCAAGAAATTCAGGAAAGATCGCGTTCTGAAAGGTTTTGATGTGAGTTACAAGAGGCTAAGCCCAAGTGCCCATGGATTCCTTGGGAGCTATGAATAGGTAGGTAGTCTTTAAATGAGTAAGGTTTTTTCATGAGTAAGTAAGGCTGTTATCACAACCTCGTTCAAGCCTATCGGTGAACGTTAAATGAGCAAACGTGGAAAGTCTACATCATTATAACTACTTCCCCGCGTTTTGTCCTATAATTGATATCTGAAATGCCGACAAGCATATTGAGGTAGAGTTAACCTTCATGAGCCAACGAAACCAGCAGAAACGGTATTATTGAAGCTAATGAGCACAACTGACGCTTCTGATAGCTGAGATCCTATGAGAAAAATGGCAAGACCAAGAGACGAGTTTCTTATCTTCTAATACCTCAGATTTTGACACTTCAATGGCTTTGAGAAGAAGGCAGAGTCGTCATCGATTCGACCACCACTCTGCATAAAATGCTCACCACTCAAAGTATCTGGGAAGAAGCCCCGAGATGCCACGTGAATTATTCTGTTAAGAAAAGGTCTGATCCTCGAAAGGGGCTTGAAAATGTTTCCTCAGCACGTTTCGAGGTCCTGCTTCCAATGCGTTTTCAAAATCTGCCGTCTCATACCCCTAAATCATTAATACGCAGCCGACATGGAAACGAACAAAGAAGCTCAAGGTGAGCTTCGCTCCGATTCGGCACTACAGGATGCCAGTCCTCCTGAATCCAAGACAAGAACAGCAACTGCAGTACTCCAAAATCCACTGGCCAACATGACACATGACGAATTGATCGCCGATGCGGAGAAATTTGCTCAAGATAAGGGGCTGGACAGCTTCAGCCCATGTTTTTCCAAGGGCGCACTCATAGCCAAAGTTATCAACACGCCCAAAGGATACGAGGCGATAGAGGAGTTGACCGAAGAGGATAAGGAGATCTTAAGGAACGAAGATGAGCATCGTTGGAAGTCTCAGCCAAAGATGCTTTACCTCCTCTGCGCATTGTGTGCGGGTTGCGCTGTTGTACAGGGCATGGATCAAACAGTCATCAATGGTGCACAGGTAAGTACTCCCTGAGTTTGGAAACAAAAAAAGCTAATAAGTCTAGCACTTCTACTTCGAAGAGTACAAAATTCAAGAACGAGCATTGCAAGGCTTGACCAACGGCGCTCCCTATGCTTCTGCAGCGCTCATCGGATGTTGGCTCAATGCTCCATTGAATAAGTACTTCGGCCGTCGAGGAACCATCGCTTTTTCCTGTCTCTTAGCTTTCATCACAGGAATCTGGCAAGCTGCTGCTAACAATTGGATATGTCTCCTCATCGCACGCTTCACTCTCGGTCTCGCAGTTGGTGCCAAGTCAAGTACCACCCCTATATACGCAGCCGAATGTGCACCCAAAGCGATCCGAGGCGCCTTGACCATGATGTGGCAGATGTGGACGGCTTTCGGCATCATGCTCGGGTTTGCTTCTTCGTTAGCTTTTCAGAACCTGAAATGGCCGAATCAGTTTGCACCTTGGAGATGGATGATCGGTTCGACAGCTCTTCCACCGTTGATTGTTGGCCTTCTCGTCTTCTTTCTCCCCGAGAGCCCTCGTTGGTACATGGATAGGGGGGATTTTCAGAAGGCATACCTTTCGCTTAGGAAGCTTCGCCGGGATGACCTTCAAGCTGCTCGGGATTTGTATCTTGCTTGGAAATTCTTGGAGGCCGAGCAAAACTCTAAAGAAGGCCGAAATCCTCTGAAGGAGTTCTTCACAGTTCGGAGGAATTGGAGAGCTGCTCAGTCTTCGTGGTTCTGTATGCTGATGCAGCAGTTCTGTGGTGGTATGCTTTCCCATGACATTTTCTTTGGTATATGGTGGAACTAACAGAAACGCAGTGAACGTAATCGCATATTACAGCACCAAGATCTTCACAGACGCAGGATATACCCGATCTCAAGCCCTCCTGGCCTCGTTTGGTGGCGGTGCCATCAACTGGATCTTTGCCCTGCCTGCAATTTGGACCATTGATACCTTTGGCCGCCGAAACCTCCTGCTCATTACATTTCCCATGATGAGTGCTTGTCTGTATTGGACTGGCTCATGCTTCGGTATTCAAGACAACGGCCTTCGTCTTCCTCTCATTGCCACCAGTATCTACATCTTCATGGCGGTTTACTCACCTGGTCTCGGTCCTGTTCCCTTTACATATAGCGCCGAGGCATTCCCCTTGCATATCCGAGCTCTTGGTATGGCTTCAGCAACATCGATCACATGGTCTTTCAACTTTTTACTCAGCTTTACATGGCCTATGATGGAAAGGTCATTTACACCCTCAGGTGCCTTTTATTGGTATGCAACATGGAACGGCGTCGGGTTCATTTTTACGTATTTCCTGCTCCCAGAGACGAAAGCACTGTCGTTGGAGGAACTGGATATCGTGTTTAGCGTTCGGAATCGTGATCATGTTCGATACTACTCCAAGCGACTGGGATGGTATACAAAGCGTGTCATGGGTCGTAGCCTGGATCCTATGCCACCGCTGTATGAGTTGGAGAATTCTACGGTGCCATCGATGTCTGAAGTGGCAGTCAAACAGACGATTAACTCATCTGTCTAATGGATAGTCGTGAGTTGTTGATGTAATGGCTTGGGCTATTCTTCTCAGATTACGGGCTGGGAGTTTCGATTGATCCTTGAAGTGCAGGACTTGGCCATGACTCAATTGGTGTCTCTTTGTAAGTATTAGGCACTTTATGATGCGAGTTTATGGGAAAAGCTTAACCTCTAGGGTTCATGATCCTAACTACATCTTCATGACGATACTACATAAATTCTTGGGACAGTACTTGATCGCTTGCTTATGTGATGCATTGTATGAACGCCCGTAGTCGTGGTGCTGTCTTTCAGAGCATCTTAGTTAAAGGGTCGATATCTCGCTCAGACTCGCTACTAGGTAGGTACATCAAATCCATGCCTCAAGTGATTATGATGCAATTGTCTCGATTCCAGCTCCGAATCTTACCATTGTTCCGAAGGGAGATGATAAACAAAAGTTCCAGAGCATACTCGTCTCAAAGTGTAAGGTGACAATAAAATGAGCACATTGCCATCAACAAAGGATCGTCAGGTAAGACATTATAAGTCTCAGGCACCAACTATGAAGGAGGAAAAATATTTGATTCAGAAAGTAATTCAGCTTTATGGTAAATAGATTCAGAATAATTCCTGGTATCCGGAAAATTCAGAACAGTATGACTGTAAGGCTTACCTAGATATCATTCAATTTGACTATTGTGTATGAGCTTTATTTAATCAGAGAGCTTGGGGTCCCCTGTAGCAGCGTTACCCACCGTCGATAGCTCGCCATAGTGGAGACCAATCACTGTGAGATCCCAGCCGAGGCTTGCGAAGTCACCTCTTATCACTGAGTGACGAGACGGGATCTTCATTCCAAAGCTCTCACCTCCTCTTTCACCTTTCATATCTTGTGAACCCCCATCCATTGACCGTTGCGAAGCTTCAAATAAAGAAGCGACAATGGATGAAAAGGCACAGCTTCCGCCTTACAGCCCCGTTTCGCTTCCAGCACCAGTTGGACTTCATCCTGGTCAACAGCGGAACAGACGGTTGTTGCGTCGCTCACGCGCCATCAGACTCTTTGCTCTAGCCTGTTTGGCTTTCATAGTCTTTGCACAATGGCGACAACTCGCACCGCGAAATAAGACCACATTGTCTATACAGAAACTCAATGAAGACCTCGAGACGTGTAAGAAGTTCCGTGTCAAGCCGCAAGACCCGCCTGGTCTCGGCCGAGATAAGAATGCTCGTTATATCGACGGCGGCAAGCCCACTTTGATCAAGAACGCTACTATCTGGATTGGAGAGCCTGTTGAAGGAACTAGCCAGGAAGATGCCTATACCGGCAAGGGCTGGGAGTGGGCGCAAGGTGATGTCTTTCTCGAGAAGGGCCTCATTCGACGCGTTGAGAAGGACATTAAGACTGCTTCGCTACCCGATGACACAATCGTCTACGAAGCCCATGGCCGCCGCTTGACCAGCGGTATTGTTGATACTCACAGCCATGCTGGCGTCTACCCATTGCCCTCTCTAGAGGGAAACTCAGACGGCAATGAGATGTCGGATAACATCACACCTTGGGCTCGAGCCATCGACTCATTGCTTCCGCTTGATCCTCAAATCGAGGTCATCAAGTCAGGTGGTGTTACAACTTCACTTATCCTCCCTGGTTCCGGCAACAATATCGGTGGAGAGGCCTATGTCATCAAGCACGCAGTTGGTAAACCTGATGGCCGCAAGGAAATTAGTGCAGTGGACTTGCTTGCCGACCCAGACCGCAACTGGCGATACATGAAGATGGCATGCGGTGAGAACGCGAAGCGTGTTCATGGCGGAGTTGGGAAGAGACCATTCAGCCGTATGGGTGAAAGCTACGAGTTCCGCCACGCTTTTGAGCAAGCGAGAGATTTGATCCAGAAGCAGGATGATTGGTGTGCCAAGGCCGAGTCTCAGGGTGTTGAGTCCTTGGATGAGTATCTTCCTGGTGAGATTGCTTGGGAGGCCCTCACTGCTGCGCTTCGTGGCCAAGTTCATATCAACACACATTGTTACACGATTCCCGACTTAGAGGCCATGGTGGACCATACCAATGAGTTCAAGTTCCCTGTCCGAGCCTTCCATCATGCTCACCAGACATATTTGGTTCCAGAGGTAGGACATTGCTGAATAACAGAGCTTCTTTTACTAATAGTGATTAGATTCTCAAGAGAACCTGGGGTGGACGTCCTCCTGCATCCGCTCTTTTCGCCGATAACATGTTCTACAAGACCGAAGCGTACATTGGCTCCGAGTATGCTGGAAAGATCCTCCACGAGAACAACCTCACAGTAGTGTATGTCAGCGACAACCCTGTTATCAATGCGCAACACGTCCTTTTTGAAGCAGCCAAAGGTTATCACTACGGCCTTCCTTACCACGTTGCACTGGCCAGTGTTACATCTGCTCCCGCTGAACTACTCGGTTTGGGCAAGCGTGTGGGAAAGGTCAAGCCTGGTTTTGATGCCGACGTTGTTGTCTGGGATAGTGACCCTCTCAGTGTTGGCGCAACTCCTGTGCAAGTCTGGATTGACGGCACTGCTCAGTTCGAGGACCCTATTGAGCTGACGAAATCAGAAGAAGCAGCTGCATCTGTTGAGAAGCCTGCTGAGATTGTTGAGGAGCCAAGCAAGCTCGATACTGTGCTTTTCACTGGTGTCAAGAAAGTGTTCCTTGAAGATGATAAGACTTACGACTCTCAAGACAAGCCGGTCAATGTGGTTGTCCACAATGGCAAGATTTCTTGTGTTGGTACCTGCGATCATGAGTTCCAAGCTGTGGCTGCAACTGGCGCAAAGACTATTGCGCTTAATAACGGTTATTTGACTCGATCTTTTACAGCTGTGGGTGGTACTCTGGGTCTCAGCGAGATTGATGCTGAGGAGGTAACTAACAATGGACCCAACCCATTGATCTTCTCTCGGGCTATCGATGGCCTTGCACTTGACTCCAAGAAGTTGCACGTTGCCTCTCGATACGGAGTTACCAGAGCCGTCTCAGCACCAGTCTTTGTGGGCGGTGCAACCCATTTCGGTACCAGCGTCGGATTCCTGACTTCGGCATTGACAACTTTGGAAGAAGGCGCAGTTTTTGCTCCTGATCTGGCAGTTCACTACACTCTGGATCTAAATGTCAGGGGCTCAACTAGCTACTCAGCCGCTTTCGGTGGACTGAGAAACAAGTTACTTACGGCTGCTACATCTCCGGAGCCTGCTACCAATCCGTTTTCAGAAGCGGCGTATCTGAAGAAGGTGATCAGTGGCGAGCAAGTTCTGGCCCTCACAATCAACAGTGCAGATGGCATTGCAACAGCTCTTCGGATCAAGTCTGAGATCGAGAGTGTACTTGCAACAGCTGACTCAAGCAAGAGAGTTGGGGGTCTCAAGCTGGCCATCGTTGGTGGTGCCGAAGCTCACCTGTTGGCCAAGGAGCTTGGAGAGGCTGGCGTTGGAGTCATCCTGTCGCCGCTACAGGCAAAGGGCGAAAGTTGGGACTCACGTCGCGCCTTGACCGGTGCACCACTCACCAATGGTACAACCATTGATGCCTTGGTTGACGCAGGCGTAGTTGCTGCGATTGGACTGCAAGAAGACTGGGAGCTTCGTGACTTGGGTTTTGCAGCGGGAACTGCATTCAAGAACGGAGGTGGACGGTTGAACGAGAAGGAGGCTATTGATCTTGTGAGTAGCAACATCTACAAGATTCTTGGGGCGGCTGAAAAGTCAGCCAAGGATTCTGGTCACTTTATGGTGACTGAGGGTAGCCCTCTTGAGATTGGATCGAGAATCAAGGCTGTTGGCCATGGTAGGGGTGATGTATCTGTGTTTATCTAGGTGTACCTTTGATAGCGTACGGGTACTCGAGTACCCGAGTTGGATGAATTACATGCGTTTATCTATAAGATCCACTCTTTAAATGGCCTCCTTGAAGCTTAATACTATGGTCAAGATACAGGATAAAAATTCCAAGACTATCTAAAGCAGGAGTCGAGTACGGAGTTACACAAGACGTCATTTTCATTTCTCTTACCCTACCTAAGCTTTACTAAGATCTTCATAATACCACATTATGAGAGTCGAGTACAGCATGTGCTCTTAATAGACTCTTTCTCATCTCCTTTAATATGAGTGCATTGTAGATTTATAATATGAGTGGCAACTTGCAATTGAGGTCATCACCAAAAAGAAATACAGTGGGAGCCGACCCTCGGGAAGCGGGGATTACAAACAGTGACGCGCGGGAGCAAAGTGGAGCAACGCGCGCGGGTAATGACCAAGAGCGGTTGGTTCTATTGGCTGAGATCATGAATCTTGTCGATTTCGGCAGAGGTTTTCGGAAGTAGCAAGCGGAAATCGGAAAATGCTCCACAAGCCATGATGGGCCCATTATCATGGGACAAGAGGATAAATAGCTTGAGGACCCCGCCGTGATGAGATGAGCTAGAATTATAAGGTAGTCAACAAATAGCAGTTCATGTGGAATTGGCCTCTTGTTGCACGAAGAACTTTTTCGACATCTTTATTCAAGTCGTTTTCATCTCAGAGACATTTATCCACCATGTCAAAGGTTGCTCCTGTAATTGCGCTATCGCATGGCGGTGGTAAGTCAACACCATATGATGTCGCTATCAATTACGGATATAGCTAATACTCTTAGGCCCCATGCCTGTTCTTGGCGACCCTAAGCATGAAAGCATTGTCTACTCCCTAAAGAATCGCGTCCCCAAGATCCTCAAGCTCGGCACCCCAGATCAACCCCGAGCCATCATCCTTGTCACCGCGCACTGGTCAACCGCAAAGCCCACCATCTCATCAGGCGCATCTCATAAGCTACTCTACGACTACTACGGGTTCCCTCGTGAATCGTACTCTCTCAAGTACCCAGCGCCCGGACACCCAGAGATCGCAAACGAGATCGCCGATGCTCTGCGAGGAGAAGGTCTTACACCTGAATTGGATGACGAGCGAGGATGGGACCACGGAGTTTTTATTCCGCTTCTGCTCGTCAATCCCAAAGCCGACATCCCCGTTGTCCAAGTCTCAGTTCTTGAGTCAGAGGATCCCGAAGAACATCTCCGCATGGGCGCAGCACTGCGAAAACTGCGCGCCAACAATATCGCCGTTGTTGGCTCGGGCTTTGCAAGCTTTCATAACATTCGCGCCATGATGATGCTGGGTAGTTCGGGGCCTGAACAGCAGGCGCAGTTTCGAACCTTGTCTGATGAATGGAATAACACATTGACTGAGGCGACGCTCAAGAAGGATGCAGATGAGCGGTGGAAGGCTCTCAAGGAGTGGAGAAAATTTCCGTATGCTGATATGATGCACCCGCCTAATGGAGGAGAGCATTTTATGCCATTGCTTGTGTGCGCGGGTGCAGCCAGGGAGGGAGAAGAGACAAAGAAGTACAATGATGAGTATGTTGGAGTTGAGATTAGTACATTCTACTGGGGCTCAGAGGAAGAGAGTAAACTGTAAATATTTATCGAATTTAGCGTTGTTGAATAGAGTATCATGGTTATTTGGTATGCTTGTTTTAAGCCAAGGTTGAGTGTGGGTGCCCCTCATGTCAAAGCCTCGATTGGTAAATCCATCTCACTCCCATTGGAACAGAGATCCCTACCAATCCCCTGATTTACAGGTACAAATACCTCTGACAGCAATTTACATGCAACAGGAAAGATGTGCATCCCGCCTCAAGCCCACTATTCGTGACCCGCTGCCGTCATCATGGGCTTGGCTCGCCCAGTTCGCCCTCGACAAGAGTCTTAGCTGACGTCAAGACGAAGAAAAAAAATCAAGCCTATAGAACCCTTTGAGGCCAAGTAAAAACCTGTATGTACAATTACATATTATAATGTTGTAAAAATGCTCAAAACTGGAATTCGGTCGTTGTCCTGTCGTTTAAATACATCCAACGCTGCAAAGCATCTCCCGCGCTTCACTGCCCCTCCAACATCCTGCATACAACCTCACATTCGCACACTTACACCACCGTCACCACTACGAAAGCTCTATACAACAGCGAGCAGCATGGGTCAACATTACAAGCCCACAATTGACGCACAAGTCGTCAAGGTCTTTGTTCTCGAGACTGATACTCCTCATCCTGATACTCAGACCGAGCGCGGTTCGTTTGGTGAGATTCTGCATCACCATCTTTCACAGGCTGGAAGCAAACATCATCCTCCGTTGGGTGTTGAGACAGAGCAAGTCTTTGTGGTGACAGAAGAGGGCGGCCGCATTCCAAAGGTGGAGGAGTTTGAGGGTTACGATGGACTGCTCATTACGGGCAGTATGTATGACGCGCATGGCGACAACCAGTGGATTCATGACTTGCTCGATCTTTTGAAGCGTTAGTAGCCCGTTCTTTGTTTGTTGAATGGAAAACTGACTGTTTCTAGAACTATGGATAAAGCGCCCAGACTTTCACTTCACAGGCGTTTGCTTCGGCCACCAAGTTCTCTCCCGTCTTCTAGGAGGCAAAGTCGGTCCTTCACCTACAAATGACTGGGAACTTGGTCACAATGCCATTACCCTCACACCCGTAGGCAAGCGCCTCTTCCGCACTCACGATGACAAAGTGTATCTCCACCAAATGCACCAAGACCAAGTCCTCGAAGCTCCCACCGTCGAGTCATCCAACGGCCTTCTCGAGCCCGATACCGACATCCATGTTTGGGGCACGAGTAGTCACACATCCATTCAGGGATTGTATATCCCCAACCGGCTATTCACATCGCAAGCGCATCTGGCGTTTGACGAAGACATGGTCAAGAGACAGATTCAGATGAGAATTGACAGTGGTGGGATCAAGGATCTGGAGCATGCGGATCGGGCGGCTGAGACGGCGGATCTGGAACATGATGGAGAACAAGTTGCGTCAGCGATTCTGAGGTTGTTTAGGTACGACGATGATGGTATGTCGTGGGACTGAGCTGGTTTGCATGCGTTGAAAAATAGATGGCCATGATTGGGCCTGATATCATAGCCTCTTTCTCCTCAACTTCTTTATTCTCTTAGGCTACGAGATCCGATAATTAAAGTTACTAAAGAAAATTTCCTTAAGATCATTATCCATATATGATATAGAACCCTTGTATGGACAGCACTCTATAAATAGTCTGTGAAACAAGGAGCATCCATGCTTCATAGATCAAAACACAGCCAAGCCAAGTGCTACAATCCATGTGAACGTGAGCAGCTATAATCCATGCCAACTAGCTTCTTTTGAAGGTATCTCTATTGCAGTAATCGGTATCGGATTGCTATTAAGCCGTAAGCGACACCATCTCTGACCTATGGCTATTTCCTTCTCCTCCAAGGTATAAAACTGGCCCTTTCACGAGTCTGCTTGTCTAGAGTTACGTGCTATGGAGATCTTGGAAATCAGGACATGATACAAACTTCTAGTATCAAGACCAAGTTCTCATCCAAACACATAAGGCCTGCTGGCACCTTTTCCCTTTGCGCGGATACATTCATTTAAGTCTTTGCGCTTTGCAGGGACATTTTTTGTTTTTACCATCAGTTTGAGGGATGTCTACTTATTCTCTATCATCAATTGTGACGGCTTCTCTTTTGAATCGCCGTTTGTAATGATTACTCGTGTAGATTACTGTTTTCATGTAAGATTCTTTGCGCGAAAAAGAGCAGCATGCATCTTCTTCCTCCAAAATATTTGGAAGCATGAAGACATTTAGTCAAACCAGGCCATACCTACGACATTGTGATTGATCCCCCTATCGCCAGTTGTCTCAAACCTTCCTCAATTGCAGATCTTGTAACAGCCATCCAATAAAGTCTCGACATTAACAGCGATGGTCACTAACATCAAGATTGGCCCTTAAAGTAGGTTATCATCTGCAACTAGAAATAAGTATAAACTATATATAATTGCATATGACATATGTGAATAATCTGATGATCACATTATGTTATTCACTGGTCACTTACAAGATGTTAAAAAGTTTACTACAATCACCCAGTTTCCAAAATCGTGATAAGTATAAGCATGCATCAATTGGTATTAAGTAAATCTGATTTATGGCCCATATAAACAAACGCTTTTCCCAAACTCGCTAATTCAGAATGCCAATCCCATTTTTAACATCAATCATGAAGCCGCAAGTTTCTTCAGCTCCGGCAAAGCCCACTGTTTCATCCATCGCGACTCCAGCAGGTCTTTAGCTGTTATCCTATCCTCAGGCCGGAAAGTAATCATCTTCTTCATCATATCAATAAAAGCCTCCTTCTCATCCTTTGACATGGGCTTCATGCCGCTCTCCTCTCGTCCTTGCTGCACACAGCGCTCAAAGCGTACATCCCATGTGAAACCGCCCTGAGTAGCGGCTTGTGTCGATGTCTCTTCTTCGATGTCCTCGACCCAGTACTCGGATCGCTTAGCGCCGTAGACAGACCACTCTTCTGGGATTTCGCCGAGAAGATCAATCTGGTCTTGAAGAATGTCGTCTTCTGAGAGGGTCCAGGCGTCGAATAGTGGGCGTTGTCCGACGACGTTCCAGAGGAGACAGCCGAGGCTCCAGATGTCAGAGCTGAACGAGAGAGGTTGACACACATCGGGGAATTGAGTTTCGGGTGCCCGGTAGCGAATCGGAGCGTTGGAATACTGACGCTTTTCTTGACTCGGTAAATAGGACTCGCCGAAATCGCCTAGTAAGATCTTTGCATCTGCTAGAGCTACATCCTCGCTCTTTTGACCAAGCCAGATTGGCAGCACGACATTTCGAGGTGCGTTTTCGTCAAGGGGAAGGCCGTCGAGCCTCGTCACAGGAACTGTTGTCGGGTGACTATGTCGCTCGTGAAGTTGATCCGGTGATAATCGCTTGATTCGGTCCGGAAGCTGGAGCAGGATGTTGTCGAGGTGGAGGTCGCCGTGTACTACACCGCCTTCATGGAGGTACGCGACGGACTGAACGACCTGAGCGGCGATAGCTCGGGCAGTCCGTGGTTGAAAGAGTCTTGTGGATGAGGCATCCTTTGCAAGACGCAGCGACATCATCGCCGGATCGTTAACCAGACAGGTGTGTCTTCCATTGGGACCATCGAAGTGAAAGTTGTCGGTGACATGTCTAATGAGAGACCTTCCAGGATGTTTCTTTCCAGCTTTGGCTTCCAAACGTTGAAGAACATCGACCTCTGTTGAATCTTCACCAAAATCTGCGAGTACTATCTTCAATGCGGCGTACTTCTGTTTCAAGATGTCCCATGAGAGCCATACGGTGGAGTAGCCACCATGACCGAGCTTGTTGAGGATGAGATAGCGGTTGTTGATAGTTTCACCTAGGGATACGGGATGGAAGCCTCCAAGGCGGTACTGTTCGAGATTTTCGACATGTTCGATGTAGTTGTAGTTGTAACCCATGTTGATCAGTCTAGTGTTGTGATCCTCCATCATCATGGCCGGCTGTGTTGTCTGAGCGGTGACGGTAGCCAAACCACGAGTTGCAGCTTTTGAGATGAGGCCATTGAAACGAAAAGACCTCTTCCTCGCTCCAGACATGAGGGTGAGTGATGGTCGCCGCAGCGACTTGAGACTGCAAGTAGCCATTTTCACGAAGAGGTTATCGTCTATCGGTGAAGGTATTTCTTGTGTCCATGGGCGTATTCAGAAATGGGGCCATTCCGTTGTGTTCGTTATAAGGTAGGTATAATAGGTGAAGATACAATTTATTCCATAGGTAAAGAGAACGAAAGACAGAAGATATAGGAAGGGGAGGAATGCAAGAGTTTATGAGTAACACGCAGAAGCCGAAATCCGGGGTAAAAGGTGCTAAACTGTTACTCATAGCTCGGAGCTATCATAGGTCACTCTCGGCTCAAGGGAAGTGGATACGGGGTAACTAAGAGCCTGAGGCATCATTTCGGCCAAGTTCCGTGCTACGGTGTGAGACTCTGTTTATATTGATATGATTAACCCTTGAACAGTTGCATTAAATCACCAGTTTCACGCGTTAGCGTTGGCACTCTCCCGGGTTTGTCGTCCACGGGAGTTGACGGGAGGGAAGACTTTGAAGCTTTCTTTGTGTCTTGACTTGACCTTGTTGGTGGACCACGGTTGGAATCGGGCAAGTTTAGTCGAGGAAGCTAGAAAACCCATCGAGTCGTGTGACTCTAGACGAGTATCAGGAGCAATTGATACCTGGCATCTCTAATCAGGGGGATAATTGTGTAATTTGACTGAAAATTTGGCATCTGCTGCATGTATCATGATATGATACCATTGATAGCCATTCTTCTGTACCTGATGGTAGATGCCGGTTCCGGACACCCGGAGTATCCACACTCCAGCTCAAGCTCCGTCTCCAGCAACAGCTTCAAAATCTGGGGTAAGCTATCGATAGATGCTTCAGTTGCTTGGCAAATCTATATACCACTCTTTTGAGGAACTCATCTCAAAGAGCATCTTGAGCAACATAACTAATACCAAGCATCTCCTCGTCAACTATACACAGTCGATGCTGTGAGACTTGACTTTGATCAACCATGAAGTTACCCAATCAGCATCAGTCACACTTTCTTGACCGCCATCATATGATGCATAAGATCAGCTATAACAACCATGCAACAATTGGCTTATTCGTTGCAAGAATGCTTCCAAGTATGTTACTTTTGGAGTGTTATCAGGAGATCGTCGTCTAAAAATATTCGATATTATGGGTCGACTTACGAGTTCTCGATTCTCAAACGAGTCTCAAACAGCTTTTTTTTGATGCGACCGATGCTGGGCCGATACACTATCAATAACCTATAGTGAATTCGGGGAATTTATCACTACTCCATGATAATACGGTGTTTTAGTCATTGAATCGATCTCGGCATATCTCGGTTTCCGGTTGCCCTGTCTCTCGTATCACAAGGTGACTTACTTGGGTAAGTTGTTGACGCGAGGTGTTGTTGATAGAGCAGCAGTCTTGACAATCGCTACTCAAAATTCAAGACTAACGGGGTCATTCGCTGGGCTTTGTGAGTCTATCGTCGTCAGTAAGCTTTGGGGTTTAGGAAATTAGGGAATCGGTATACTTACTTGTATTATCATAGCTTCACCCTAGTATTTGTGAAGTTACTCCTTAGTTTATGGTAGTATACTCATAATTCACTAAGATAATAAAGCTTAAAATTTATACCTATGTAGAGACATAGACCAGCCCAGACTGCTTAGCTGGCATTCTGTCTTTTTCTTGTATGATCTAGACTGTGCACTCAATATCCCACTCAAGTAGCGAAGATGATATTGCCTGGACTCTTGAGCTTATACCATATGGGCCGCTTACTATTGGCCCTGGTAAGCTTCATATCTCTTTTGAGGATATGATCGATGACCTCTATCCTTGCATTATCATCATCATCTCATGAATCCGGATATTCTTTCCAAGTATCCTTCAGACTCACAAGGAGGCCTTGGTCTATTACAGTTTACAGAAGTCCAGTTTATAATTTTCTGAAGATGGCTTGATCGTAAAGTTCAGAGACATCTTGAGGCTCGTCTAAGCTATCCCTAATTCTCTATCCTGATAAGGTTAACTATCCTAAACGTAGGCTATCTTATGACAGAAACAACAGGCTAGGTACTGATATTACAGAGACTTACAACTTGGTCGCAAATATTACCATTGTAGAGGGGGCATTAGCCGTGGACGCGTGCTCGGCGATGTCTTGGGGAGTAAGCCAGCTATATAAATCTCCTGCCCAAGATATTTCACAGGGTGGGACTTGATGTTCTATGTTTGCGGCCTAAATAAACTTTTGATCTTTACTGGTTCTCGATGTTTATATTTAATGTCTCGTTATTAGACGACATGGGCTACTGCCTAAGAATTGTAGAAACCAGGCTCTAATTCCTGCTCCAAGTCGCTTTGCAATCGTTTTAGAAACGGATAAATGAACATGAAAGTGCTCTCTGATAGAGTTCTTAATTGATAAATAGCACAAGTTTCGAATGAATATAACTTTGCTTTCTGATAGATGTTTAACTATCAGTCAGGGTATATCTTTCCCAAGCCAAGGTTGTTTAATAAGAGAATATCTATAATCCCAGCATTTCAAGACAAAATAGACAACGAGTTACCTAACAAAAGCATAGTTCATCACAAAAGCCGTTGTTGACTGCGAGATGAGAGCAAATCCTCCTTCCAGCGCTTTATGTTGAAAGCTAAGTGCGAAACGTAGCTCTTCGTGCACTCCAAGCTCATCCGATCACGAGACCGGCAGATATCCTCCCAAGCTCTCTCCGACTCCCAAGCCAGCCAAGACAAGCCCCATCAAACAAGCATATTTTCTCAGATAGCTAAGTAGCTAATCTAACCAAGCTTGTAATTTCTATTCTTGAACTTTCACCATCCACTAAATATGTACGCCATCAATTCACATGGGATGTGACACACAAGACCGGAAACAAGACCGGATCAAAGCCATAACGGATGCTGCATCCGGGCAATACTTTGAACAAGCCGCTGCGCCCTCTTCTGGCAAGTTATACCGGGAGTTCAAGTCCGTACGCCAATGACACAATTTTGTGTGCGGAATCCTGTTGTCTCTACACGTCGCGTGATACATCATGCATCCCAGACTGACCACCACTTTTGACGATCAACGCTGCATGTTCTTGGTCGACGCGAGAATTCACCCCGCCTTGCGGATTCAAGCTCACATATCAATTGTTCCGTGTAATGTATGTGCCAGTTTTGCTTGTGACACCGGCGTCTTGCCTGACCTATCATGGCTAACTGCGGGCTGTTGTCCGCCCGCAAACCCCAGGTTTTTGCTTATCAGACTTCAAGATTGCTTCTGTTTCCGGTTATAAAGGAGTGCCTCGGTTATCTAACCCCGGACGCCTCATTCTTGGCTGCATCTGGCTCACACCACTTGTCTTGTTCTAGACCGAGAATCCGGTTGACTACATACGACAATCTCTGTGCAAGTCAACGAGCAAAACAGAAACTGGCTCGTTGCCAAGTAACCAATGATTCACATGAGAATATCGTCGAGCTTGAGAGTTGAAATGGTTCATAATTATTCAATGTTTTCAAGCCTGCTTCTTTGAGCGGCCTTTCTTCTCATAACTAGATACAGAAGCTTTGATAGCTATACAACACATGGGCTCTCCTGTCCCTGATATCCAATCCACTGTAACTTTTTGTACTCCAAAAACTCCGTTTCAAAAGTCATTTCCCATGTGTTCTGTATTCCCTTTCTTTATAATGTAGAGGTGGAAGTTACTGAGTCTTCCTATCAACGCTTCTGGGGTATCTTCTTTTCGCAAATCGGATCGCCGCGTGTCTCATGCAGTTGGTAACAAAGGGAAAAAATGCGAGTATTAAGCAATAAATGACAATGTTGTAAGTTTCCAGGTGGCAGCTCTATTGGCTACCGTCATCTGATGAGTTGGAAAAACTGCTGAGTCGGTGGGCATCGAGATGCTCCAGGCTCTCGTACTCAACTGGGGACTCAACGGCAGGGTAGGCAGGGGGGCTAGGAGGCACGTCTTGGTAGACCGGGGGAGCCTCGTTATCCCAGCTGACACCCATGCCAGCATGAGCAGTCATGACAACACCGTAATGCATTCGCAGGATGCGGCCGGTGCCGGTTTGGGTAGCCAGTTGAGGCTTACCCTCTGGAGCGTATTCTCGAGAAACAACAAGCTCGATGAGGAGTGAATGTGTCACCTCGACGCCCTCAGCAGACTTGGTGTCACAGGCATACTTGAGCTCCTTGGTGTGAGACTTGTACTGATTGGCAAAGTAGTCAAATTCAAGCTCAACCTTTCCATCGGTGCCAGTGAAGTCAGACTTCCAGCCATCGTGGAGGTGCTTCTCACCCAGAACGCGGACCTCGTTGCGGGGGAGACTCTTCTTCTCGGCGTCGTCAACTGCAGGAGCATGTCGGTCGCAAGCAGGGGCCACGGTCTTGATGGTCTCCTCGAGTCTCCAGGTGACCTTCTTCAGTCGCCAGAAGTCGATGGTCTTAGCCTTATCGTTACGGCTCATAAGGCCGTCAAGTCGCAGACTGACAGTGTTGGTTCCCGTAGGGTGAATGATGTTGTTGTAGTGAGCGCTGGCCTTGATGTTGGTAGGAGGGAAGACGCGGACAGAGTGGTGAGGGATTTCGTTTTCGGGAAGAGATCGCTTAACAGGGACAGTTCGCTCGAATCGCACGGGTGTGACAGAGCCACTGGCTGAGTGCACGCTCTTGGTGACATAGGCGTCAGCCTTGAACTCATATGAGATGGCGACGAGGGGAGTGTCCATGGTAGCAGGGAGGTGGCCATCCAGGAGAATAGAGAAAGGGAATGGGTGACGACCCTTTCGAAGCGTGGTAGGCAGAGCGAGGAACTGCCAGCTCTTGAGCTCAGTGTATTGGTTCTGGCAATCTGTGCAGTGGCCCTGGTAAGGCCTCTTCTGGTAAATGTGAAGCTTGAGAGAAGCTGCGAAGCTTCCAACCTCGACAACCTCCTCCTTGACATCCAGGAACATCTGTCCAGTGATAAGAGCACCAGTGCTCTCTTCAGTGTTGCCGTGGAAAACCACAGGTGGACTTTCGATGCTCCAGTCAATAGAAACATCTGAAGGCTGTTCCTTGTGGGACTTGCCAAAAGGCAGAGAAATTCGGTGATGCTTCTTAACGGCATCTGCGAGTTCGGTCATCTTGACAGCGTGGATTTGAGGTCGATCCTCGCCGTCTGATGTGTAAGGGCTGTTTGTGCGTGATCGAGCAACCTTCTTGATCTGAGCAATGTTGCCAGAAGAGGTGCGGATGAAGTTAGCCACGCGGTGGGGCATGGCGGCGGTAGTGAGCGATCCTTTTGTAAGACGCTCTCTTTTGTGGTTGATTATACGGGTTTGGA